TAAAGCCTATGCTTTCCCTTCCAATATACACTTTTTTTCTCCTCCCCTCTATCTGCTTTGCACACAAAGACAGTATATCCCTGCCTTCATCCCAGCCCTGTCTCAGCCCGCTCAGAGACTCCCATTTCCCTTGACCGCTCTCAGTCTTCTGCAGTCATTTCTCATCCCACTCCCCACGTACTTGGCCTCCTCGAGCTCCTCCGTGCGCTGAATCGCGTCCGTCTCGTATTTGGTTCTCCACTGGGCCACTTCGCTGTTGGCCTTGGACAGGGCGCGCTGCAGCTCCCCCTTGGCTTCCTGCTCCTCCTCATATTGTTCCCGGAGCAAGTCACAGTCGTGGCGAGCGGACTGCAGGGCGTGGGCCAGGGCGTTCTTGGCCTTGGGAGACAATTGGATGAGGACAATTAATTTCCTGTGAGACAGCAGAATGTTAACTTTACGAAAGTGGTTGAAGAGTCTTTCCATCTGACATTTAAAGTCAGCCCAAGGGAAAATGGCATATTGATTTCACCTTTAGAGAACTTTCTTATCTCTTCATTCATCAGAATATAGAAAGTATTCTCAGGAGAGATGATGGATAAATTCTAAATAAATTCCTGTAAATCAGGAAATTGTTGAATCCCTTTAAATATACTCTAAATTTTCAGCTTTGAAAAGTAGACTAAGATGCACAATTTATTTTTAGATATATCTCAATCATTTTTATATGCCATTATAAATCTGAATAGAGACCTAAAAATTTTTTTCTCTGTCTTAGTATTCAAATTGGAGAGGATGTCTTCCTCAATTTCCCTTCCCACACTAGAGATTAAGGTGGCAAAATTGTCCATCTTGTTTGATAGCTCAAAAATTAAACTGATATGGCTAACATTCTCATTTTATGTGAGAATAGGAAATATCCCTAAAGAAAACAGAACCTCAGTCCAAAGTCAACCCCCTTACTAGAAGTACATTTACCTTTATTTCTTCCTCTAAATGTCTCTTTAGCTCCTCAATCTGTTGAGTGAATGCCTGTTTGCCTCTGGATAGCTGAGATATCAAACCATCTTTTTCTTCCACTTGGCGTGAATATTCACCTAAGAAAGTTTACAGACAGATTGCAATTTAAAATCAATACTAAGTCAATGTGTCTTTTAAGCACTGTATAACAGATCACAGAGACTAGATCAATTTGAGGAAAGCTTCATTCCTTTTTTTGTCAACATTAATTACAGGTTGTCCCATTCCAGAGGCATGTGGGGGTATGTTACCTGCTTCTGTCTGCAGACGAGCTCTTTGAGCATTGAGGTCATTGATCATGCGCTGATGCTCTTCTTCCTTTGTCTTAATCTCACTCAGTTGGTCTTCCAGGGTGCGGCACATCTTCTCCAGATTTGCCTGTGGAGGTCACAGAGAATGAAAGAAGATTAGGATCTAGACGCCTTCTTATTCAGAAGAGCGGGACTCTAAGCAGAAAAACATGAACAGACTTGCACGGTCTGGACTGTTGCTTGATGTTAGAAGGTAAGAAACACAGCTCCATAGAGAGACAGGGAGTTAGATGGTAACCAGGCTGTAATTTGAAAGGATGTATTTCAATGGAATTAATTTTCAAGTGGTTTACAGTCCATTTTTCCATACCTTGGCTTTGGAGACAGACTCCATGTTACTGGCCAAGTCATCAATCTCCATCTTGAGCTCACTCTTCTCCTTCTCCAGCTTCTGCTTGACGCGCTGCAGGTTGTCGATCTGCTCCCCCAGCTCAGCTGTGCTGTCCGCGTGCTTCTTGCGCAGGGCGGCAGCCGTGGCTTCGTGCTGCAGCGTGGCCTCTTCGAGGTCCCGGCGCATCTTCTGGAATTCTGCCTCCCGCTTCTTGTTCATCTCCACCTGAGCTGCCGTCGCCCCTCCTGCTTCTTCCAGGCGCTCGCTGATCTCCTCCAGCTCCCTGGACAGGTCAGCCCGATGCTTCTCTGCTTTAGCGCGAGAGGTTCGCTCGGCCTCGATTTCCTCCTCCAGTTCCTCAATACGGGCCTGGAGAACACGAGGGACCCTTCACACCCGTGCCCTCCTCCTCCCTGAGCCGAGCCTGGGGTAGGCAGGGGAAGGGCAGACACTTGCCTGCAGCTCCTTGATCTTCTTCTGTAGTTGCATGCCCAGAAGTTGTTCGTCCTCGATTTTGCTCTGGATCTGGCTGATTTCAAAGTCTTTCCTTTGGGCAAAGCAAAGTGGGTTACAGCTCAAAGGAAAAAGACAAGAGCTGCAGCCCAGCACTGAGGTGCCCCAGGGCCACACTTACTTCTTCAGTTTCTCATCCAGCTGCTGCTTATCATTCTCCAGATCCATGATGCTGTCCTGGGCCAGCTTCAGGTCTCCTTCCAGTTTCCTCTTGGCTCTCTCCAGATCCATGCGCAGTTTCTTCTCTTGCTCCAGGGACCCTTCCAGCTACACAGAACAAGGCCATCAGTGCTCCACCAGCCAGCTCAAACTCCATACCTGTCTGTTCCTGCTGTGTGTCCGTGGGCTTACATCGTCCACTTGCTGCTCCAGCTTGGTCTTGGCTTTGGTCAGTGTATTGACTTTGTCCTCCTCTGCCTGCAGGTCATCCAGGGTCTGCTGATGGGCCTCTTGGAGGGCTTTCTTCTCTTTTGTCAGCTTGGCGATGGTCTCGTCCAGGGCTGCCATCTCCTCTGTGAGGTTTTTCACCTTTAGGAAGAAGGAAGCAAGCGTAAATCAAGGAAGTAGATACAGAAGTCCTGGAAGAGCACGGGACTCTTTTCTGGCGTGTGGGTGAGTTTTTCTGCCTCATACCTTGTTTTCAGTTGCGTGTTTTTCCTTCTCCACCTTGGCCAGTGTTAGCTCAAGGTCATCAATATCTTTCTTCAGCTCTGAACATTCATCCTCCAGTTTTCTCTTCTTGGCTGTCAGCTCAGCATTGATTTCCTCCTCATCCTCAGCCCTTTCAGTCACTTCTTTAACTTTGGCTTCCAGCTGGATTTTGGTTTTGATGAGCTGGTCACACCTTTCCTCAGCATCAGCCAGAGCATCAGCTTCCTGGTGGGAAAATGCCATTGTTGGGGATACGCTTTTTGAGGGAATATTGAGATTTTTACCTGCATAATTCAGAGTCCTGGATAGCAATTTTGTATTTAAAAATTTGATACATGTTCCAATAAAATGACATATAATCTAGAATTGATTTTATATTGTTAGTTTTGAAACAGACTGGTTTTAAATCTTAAACCAAGTAAAATCCTTTTCAATCTATCTCAAGTCTTGAGTATTTATATATTCGTGCAGGGTACAGAATCCAATCTTATCCCACAGTATCAAACACTGGAACAAAGTGCATAAATTCAGGTTTAATCATAGGAATATCTCCCATGTTTGTGAAGTTCTGAGTGATAGTCATATGCCAAGATGCATATAAATACTGAAGACACAATTATCTTGACACCATTCCTGTATTTGTCTTTTTTCACCTTACTCTCTTTCTGGAGTAACTGTTTCTGATTTATATTTTCAACACCATTGGCCCCAAAATACTCAGCATCTGTCAGCCTTGTCTCTTCTCTGTGCTACTGTCATCAGCTAAGAAGAAAAAGACCTTCTGGAAAATTTGCCTCTAGGCTTCTTTTCTGCAACATAGGTCCTGTGGTATTTGTTATATTTTGTCTCAGGTTTCAGTCCAACAGAAATAGTATGAAAGAAAAATAATAATATTAGCAGTGCGTGGATTCTTTCATCTTTTTACAACTCAAGACTCTTTAAAAAGGGGGGCATGTGGCTTTTTCTGTATGTCACATATGCTGCATAGTATCACTTGGAGGAGTCAGTCTTTTCTATTCTGTGACTGACTTAATTTAGAAAGCACAGCACTGTTACACCACAGATGTAGCACGTGATTTTGTGTAATGATTCTTAGTGATGTAGGAGGGTGAGTGAGAATATTAAATTCTCTTTCCTCTTAGTTCAGTATTATACCATAGTAAAGTCTGTTACTGTCCTGACTATTCAAGCCACCACCTAAAACAGAAAGAAACAAGTTATCTTGTTCTACTGGAGAATAAGGAGAGGAAAGTAATGTCTTACGTTGCCCTGAGAATTCTTCATTATGAGTGTGTAAGGAGAGGCACATTCAGTTTTGGAGACATAGGAAAAAAGTACTAGCAAAACAAACATTTTACAAAGAAAAGTTTCTTGATTGTTCTGATATAAGCAGAAGGGCAGTGCAGGCAGTGGAGGATCAAAAAAACAAGTCCTATAAGGAGTGGCTGAGTGAGCTGGGTTTGTTTAGTCTTGAGAAGAGGAGGCTCAGGGGGAACTTCATTGCTCTCTACAACTGCCTGAAAGGAGGGTGTAGTGAGGTGAGGGTTGGTCTCTTCTGCCATGTCTCAAGTGAAATACCAGCCTTAAGTTGTGCCAGAGGAGGTTCAGATTTGATATCAGAAAAAAAATTTTCACTGAAACAGTGGTCAGGCATTGGAATAAGCTGCCCAGGGAGGTGGTAGAGTCACCATCTCTGGAAGTGTTCAACAGGAGTCTGGATGTGGTACTTGGGAATTTGGTTTAGGAGGGATTATGGTGGTACTGGGCTGATGGTTGGAGCAGATGGTCTTGAAGGTCTCTTCCAGCTGTGATTAGTCTGCAATTCTGAGAAATGCTAAGAGAGCTCAGCGTACAGCATAGAAAGTCTCACCCAGGTAATATGCTGACAGTCCTTAATAAAGCTTGTAAGAGCTTGTAAGAGCACCACTTAAAGAATCAAAATTGAACTGAGCTTAATTTTAGTTTCTATGTGTCTTTTGAAAGTGTAATTGTAAATATCAACTTGATAGTCACAGCAGAGTTGGGATAAAACACACTGGTAATACTCACAGCCTGCACTTGGAGCTGCAGGTCATTTTTCTCCTGCACCAGTTTCACCATTTTTTCCTCCAGCTCCTTCCGCTTTGCCTCAGACTTTGCAAGTTCTTCCTTAGTTTTCTCAAACTCTTGTTTCATGTTGGCCATCTCCTTCTCAGACTCTGCACTCTTCAGCAAGGGCTTGATCTTGAAGAAGAGCTTCATCCAGGGCCAGTGTTTGACATTCATGAATGCACGAATGTTGTACTGGATGCAGAAGATGGACTCTCTGAAAGGTAAGTCAAATTATTATTCAATATTTATACTGTGATGACACAATAAGCCAGGTAGGGTGAACCTGATTTGAAGAAAAGCCTACCTTCTCTCCACCATTCTCTGGTACTCCACTCTCATCAGGTAACCCCTGCATCTGGCCTGTGTGCGAGTGATGAGCTGTGCCAGCTTCTCATCCCTCATCTCCTCCAGGAGGCCTACGAGCCCAGCTTTGAAGAACACCTTAGGTAAGAACATGAAATAGGTGCAGTGTACGTGCTTGTTCAGGGTAACCTGGTGCCCTTCCCCCCATGACAGGCACTATGGGAAGTTAAGAGAAAGAGCAAAACCACAAAGAATATATGTAGTGCCCGACTCTTTTATAACTCCAAGCTTCTGGTTACCTGCAGTTGAGGAACTATAATAGCCAGATATTTTGCTTTTATTTGTATTAACCCTTGATTCTTTCATTCTACAATTTTGTCTTAAATTAGGAACACTTATTTAAACCTTAATTAAATCATCCTATGGCAATGAATTTCAGTTTATTCAAATGTTGAGTAAAAAACTACTTGATTGATTTCTTTTACATACACCATTGGATCATTTCACTTACTGTCTGGAGTAACTGAGTGTCAGTCTCAAGCCATGCAAACCAAAAACCCATGGTACTTGAAGCAAGCAGATCTTGTACCTTAGTGTGACCAAATTTGTATTGAGTGTGGTCTATATCAATTGATCCAAGAAGTTTCTCACAAGCCTTCTTGCTGTCAATGAACTGTCCCTCTGGGATAGCACTGGCATTTAATACTTTGTATCTGAGGAAAAAAATGGAAGGATTTGCTTTGGACTCAATGATCTTAAGGGTCTTTTCCAACCTAAATGATTCTATAATTTTATGAATATGAAGAGGTCTGTTGTTGAGACCAACTGGCTGCTACATGGAAAGAAAGAGTCTAAGAACAGTTGAGAATGTAACAGCACTTATTAAACTGAAACTATAGGGAAGGCTTTAGGCACAGGAGGGAAAAATTAAATTTCACAAGCTACTCAAGATGGGCAAAGTGATCCAGTAAGGGGATGAAGTCTGACCTCTGTTTAAAATCTGCATACAGGACTCTGTTGGGAAATCCTTTCCTGCAAATCCTGATCCCTTCCAACACGCCGTTACAGCGCAGCTGGTGCAGCACCAGCTCATGCTCCATGGCACCTGAGCAATGCAGAGCACAAATACACACCATATTCTGTAACACGGAGAGCAAGAGCTGCATCATACTGAGAACATTCAATACATATGTAAGCCTCTTACCAGGTGTTTTCGTTTCATTGGGGATGATGCAGCGCACAAAATGGGGGTGGGTGCTCCTCAGGTTGGTCATCAGCTTGTTTAAATTCTCCTGGAAGAGTCATTAGGAAAAGTTGATATTAGCAAACGTAATTTCATCTGTAAGCATCAAGCCCTCTGAAATGAGATGTACACAAATGAGCAGAACCCTGAACTGAAGCTCTCTGCATCAGGTTTTCTGACTTTCCACAGATCTTTGCTGTTATTAACTTAATGTATGAAGTTCTTCTGAGTAATCTGTAGAAAATATTGTACTCTTAAACATAGAATTGTAATACATTTCACTGACTCTAGTGGAATGCCTCTATGAGAAATTATATCCACAGGATGTACCCAGAGAGATAAAGTAGTACTCCTAAGAGGCAATGAGTGGGAAGCATTCTGCAGGAGGCATCAAAGCTGGGTCATATGGAGCACACTACACAAAACCTTCGTGTTTTCCCTACTAAAAGCAAAAGGAACAAAACCAGTTTTATATGTCTAGAATATACATTTATCTTGTATGGCAAAGTGAGATGAATCCCATCCCTTGTTTTGTAATTGATATTTGTATAGTTATTTATAAAAAATTATTGTCTATAATTAGGGGAGGGAAGCAGGTGCTTCTAGAGGACACCAGAAAGCATGTAAATAAAACAGAGAAAACATTAGGATGCATAAACATTAACATGTCTAAATAAGAGGGATAGTGGAAGAAAATTTAAAAACATAACAGAAATGCAACCCAAATGCACCAAACAATAGTTCTTTTACAACATTACCTCCTAAAGTCTTATTACCTTTAGAGATAGACTTTTTGCATTATTTTTAAATGATACACGCAGTACAGCTATGATAATTGCCCCAGAGGATGGTTGGGCATTGAACAGCCTCCCCAGGGCAGTGATCATGGCCCCAAGACTGCCAGAGCTCAAGGAGTGTTTGGACAATGCTCTCAGGGACAAGGTGGAATAGTTTGGATGTCCTGGGCAGGGCCAGTACTGGATGATCCTGATGGGTCCTCTCCAGTTCAGCATATTCTACAATTCTATGATTATTTTTTGGGGGGCATATACACATGCCCATGTCGTGTTTCAGAGCACTGCCTAGAGGCTGTCAGGTGATGAAGAATCATACGACAGCAGACCTGTAGAAGAAATTAAGCGATATCAAGAAGGGAGGCATACATGAAGGATGAAAAAGGTAATACCTCAGGAGACAGGAGGTATTTCACCTGGAAGAGATGTATGGAGCAGTCAGGAAGCAAGACTTGATTATGACAAAGGACTGAAGTATTGACATCTTAAAAATCCATAAGGAGTGATGGTATTTCAAGTATAAGAAATTGATCCTTGAGTCAGACAGAAAAACTAGACATATAAATGGAGTAAACAGGTCAACAGTGGCCAGATTGTTGTAAAAGGGCAATAACAGCTTCTGAAGCCAGAGGCGTGCATCTGGAGGAAATCTGGTCTATTTTAAGTATATTTTAGACATTTTTTTTATGACATTCTTCCATCTAGAAACACCATCCTCAGACAAGTGGGCAAACAGAAAAGCTGTGCATTCAGTGGAAAGGAGTATGAGTAGATTACACTGGATTTATTCCTAGTAAAATGTGGCCCAAGAACTTCAGGATCTTTTAAAAGAACTAAGCCAAAAAAAGACAAGCCATAGTGATTGGTGGGTTTACTCCTTATCTTAGGAAGAAAGAGTGAAGTCTCTACTGTACCCGGAAAAGAGCCGAGACAGTCTGGAAAGAAGAACCCTTCTTCTTGGCACCTTTCTTGCCTGCACCACTGGCCTCGGCTAAATTAAAAATAAATAAAACAGATTTTAGATTTTTGCTTTTGCCTTTTATTATTCCTTTTTGTAAGCTGTACATCAGTGAAAATATGGGATTCATAGAACCAACCTGCTTCTGCTCCACCATAGTTGGCAAAGAGTAAGGCCAGGGTCTTGACGGATGATTTCTGGTACAGCCCAATGACAGTTTCATTCAGGGGGTCCTTGTTCTTCTCCAGCCACCCAGTGATGTTGTAGTCCACTGTGCCAGCGTAGTGCACCAGGGAGAAGTGGGCCTCAGCCTTGCCTTTGGCAGGTTTGGGCTTCTGGAAGTTGTTGGACTTGCCCAGGTGCTGGTCATAGAGCTTGTTCTTGAAAGAGGTGTCAGTTGCCTTGGGGAACATGCACTCCTCTTCCAGGATGGAAAAGATGCCCATTGGCTGGGAGAAATCACAAGGGAGACAGATTGTAATTTAGCTTTCAGGGCAATAATGACCTTCATATAGACACAGTAATGGAACAAAGATTGAGATACACATCAGAAAATATTAATATTTCATTGCATTTTCTTCTAGAAAGTGGGATTGAATACATTGATACCTATATTTTTAATACAAAATTAACTATAAAGAATAATAGAAATTAATCTAGTTTGTGTGGAGAATGTGCTTTATAAAATTAGAGCACTACCTTCTTATGTGGTGGGACTGAGAGCAAAAACAGATGTGTTAGACACATTGAACATGAGCTGAAAATACACCATTACAGCAAAGGGAGCCAACTCATCCTCAGCTAAATTCTGTTGCTCATGGGAGTCTATCCTTCCTCTCTAATCAGCTCTGATGAGAAACATCTGGAGTGCTGTTCTAGCTCTTGGCTACTCCCATGGACGTAGTAGAGCGAGCCCAGTGGCAGGCCACAGATATATTTAAACGATCGGAACGTCTGACATGCAAAAATAAGCTGACAGGACTGTCCTGCATGGAAATGAGAAGGGTCTGGGAGATCTTATCAATCTATATAAATACCTAATGGGAGGGAGAGAAGAGAGAGCTCAGTGATGCCCTGTGATGGGACAAGAAGAAAGAGGCATAATTCACTAAATTCCATTTAATGAGAAGAAAAACCTTCTTTACTGTGAAGATGGTCCAGAGTTAGAACAAGTTCCCTGAAGTATCTGTGGCATCTGCACCCTTGGAGATATTAAAACTCCAACTGGACATGGTCCTGAGTAAACCGCTCTAGCTGACTCTGCCTTGAACAAGCGGGTTGGGTTAAGTGATGCCCAGAGCTGATTCTGTGATTCCAACTACTCATCATCTGCCAGCTACTGAACTTGCTATCTCATGTGCAGTACAACTGCCTTCACACTGTTAGTCAAAGGAGGCACCTGCAAGTGTGACTTGTGTACTGACAGTTATTTATGTGTGTCCATCCTCTGCATCCATTTTGCAAAGATGCAGGTGTTCTGCTGTACAAGCACTCTTGTCAGAGCTGAAAGGTGAGGAGGGCACACTGACCTGGAAATTGGCTCTAGCTGGTTTGGAAGAACACTCTTTTTGGGAGTTAAACAAACTTTTTGTGCTTGGAAAGAGATCAGTACAGGCTTGCTGCCACAAGTCTGCCACACATCTGCCACACTCTCCTTCATTTCTCACTTAACAGAAAAAGTAAACTGCGGGGAAAGGTATTTTGAATAAGAAAAGCAGAATACTTGCACAGGAACATAGAAGATCCCTTTGAACAATGAGACCACAGAGTTTTTCTGCATGTAACTCATTTGAACAGGTAGGATACCTTCTCAATGAGCTCAATACAGGCAGCCAGGTCCATCCCAAAGTCAATGAATGTCCATTCAATTCCCTCCTTCTTGTACTCCTCCTGCTCCAGCACGAACATGTGGTGGTTGAAGAACTGCTGCAGTTTCTCATTGGTGAAGTTGATGCACAGCTGCTCAAAGCTGTTGAACTGGAAATAAAATAAGAAGAATACATATAGAAAGATGCAGCAATAATTGCAAAACCTCCTTTAAAACTAAGGAATGGAGTTATCTTGGCTTCATTGTCCATCCTGTGCATTTCTTCAGTCTGCTTTGTGACTACATAATGAAAAAGAGAAAGGCATCAAATTAATTGTCCACAAGGAATTTTTTTTCATTAATAAAGTTGTGAAGATATAATATATACCAAGTTACAGGAAGAAGAAACACAAACTTCGGACTATCGTGGTGTACATATTTTTATACTATCTTGTCCCTGACTATATAACCAAGGAGTTTTTCTGATTGGACCATTCTGTACTTTTGAGTTTTCACATCTTGAAATAAGACAAATCTTTTGAAAAGTCATTTTTTAATTCATAATAAAAAAGAAAAATAACACTAATCATCTGATAATATTATGTCTTCTTTAAAATGTCTCAAATTGATCATAACATTCAGCTGTCACTTCCAAGTAGCTCTTACGAAATCTTACTTACATCAAAGATCTCGAAGCCAGCAATGTCCAGCACACCAATGAAGTACTGCCTGGGCTGCTTCGTGTCCAGCTGTTGGTTGATGCGAACAACCATCCACAGGAACATCTTCTCATAGACAGCCTTTGCCAGGGCACCCACTGAATTGTGCACCTATAGGAAAGAATAAATGTCTGGTGTTACCATACAGGGCAGAGGAAAATCAACAGGATATTAATTCTAAACATGGTTAGAGGCTACAACATGTTTCTTACCTGCTGTGCTGTTTGACCCTTAGTCACATATTCATTCCCCACCTTAACTCGGGGGTAGCAGAGGGCCTTCAGCATGTCAGCTGAGTTCAGGCCCATCAGGTAGGCAGCCTTGTCAGCAACTGAAAAGGCAGAGGAAAAAAGAAGAATTTAACATCCAGTGAACTTTGAATCTTGGAGCAGTCTTCCCAGGATTCAGCCTAAAGGCTGCAGGGTTCAGATTTCTGTTCTTTGAAAACTTTTGATAGACTCTCATAGAGGGAATCTTGGCAACATCACACTTGTCATTATGCATATTGAGCTTTTCTAAAACAATTTATGTTTTAAAATCTTCCCTGGAACATGTAGAAAGTGATGATGTTTCCAAAAGTCTCCTGGCACTGAACTGAAAAATGAAGCTTGTTAGTCTGAAAGCTGCTAGTGCATCTGCAGCTCAGGAGCTGCAGTGACAACAACCAGGTACTGATCTGCATTCAGGTGATCTAGACCACACAATATTTAGAGTGGAACACAGAGACAATATCTCTGTTCTCTTTCAGATCTAGAACCCTTTCTGAGCTTTTGTTTCTGATACTCAGTAAAACTAATTGGGCTTCATCCTGTTACCTATGGTGCTCCCCACCTCCTGCCTTGTCCTTTAGCAAGAGGAGGTGTTGCTCACAGAATTGGAGACAGAGGTTGTAGGTCCTGTGCCCATAAAGGAGAGGAATCAAATACACCTCTTACAGCTGCCTTCCCTCAGTGTTGAATAGGGGAAGACAAATGGGAACGTTGTCCCCTCTCATGTTAGAACTGAATCACTGGGCTGTTTCGCAGTTGCAAGCCATATTCCAACAAAGGCATGACTAAAGGAACATCCATCACTCCTGACTTCCTGGAAGTTTATACTGCTAACTGTTCATAGCATAAGATACATAAATCCTGAAATAAGGGAACTTGGTGTACCAAAGACAAGGGACAGGTTTTTTTTTCCTGGCTGACTAATTTTCTTGGGATCCTAAAGTCCAACAATTAACAACTTTTGCTGTTTTCCACAGTGGCTTACAGAAGGGTTAATTATTGAGCTCAATAATACCTTCTGTGCCTTCAGGCTCTGCCTGTTCCTCTCTTGGTTTCTGCTTGAACTTCAGGTTCCCATAGTGCATGACAGCCCCTGTCAGCTTGTAGATGGCTGTTCTCTCATCAGCAGTGAAACCCAGGATGTCAATGGCACTCTGATAATACAATCAGCAAAGTGAAATATTTGTGTGTTATGTGATGTATGACCTATACCTGTTGACCTGTTTTGTATGTTACTCACGTCTGTTGCCATCAACTCCTCCTTGTCATCAATGCTGGGAACACTGATCTCACCTTGACTCACAAAAGGGAAATCATAAGGGTTGGTGGTGATGAGGAGCATTTCTGAAAACAAATGTGTACATGGGTTAAATTTAATACTTTTTGTAATGTAGTTGAATCTTTCTCAGAGATTTTCCTTCAAAAAGCTCGGTGACATCTCCTACCAATTAGCTCTGGCTTCTTGTTGGACATGATCTGATAAAAGATGTGGTAGCTTCTTTCCGCCTTGAGCTGGAAAGTGACTCTGGACTTCTCCAGCAGATCTGTCAAGGATGGTAGGACAGAGTTAGGCACAGCAATGCACATGGAGGTGGGAATTTGGGAAGGGATTGGACCAGTCCAAGAGAGTCTCTTACAAGTTTCAATATCAGCAGAAGCCAGTTTGCCTGTGGCCCCAAAGTGGATTCTGATGAATTTGCCCTGTTAGGGAGAAGCAGCAGCATTTCAGCCTGTATGGTTTCCTCTGACATCTCCTTTACGTGGAGACCTACTCAGGCATCACTTGTCCTGCCATGAGAGGGAGAGATTTTGTCCAAGTCACCAACTCACAAAGCGTGAGGAGTTGTCGTTCCTCACGGTCTTGGCGTTTCCAAAGGCCTCCAGCAGTGGGTTGGCGCTGATGATTTGATCCTCAAGCGTTCCCTGCAGAGGGAAAATTACTCATGGGCTGTGTTGAGTTGACAGGGTAATGACAGCCCAAGTGTCCAGTCTGTTCTTCCTGACTCACCTGCATTTTGCCTGATGTCTGCTCCTCCTTTTTCTTGTCCCCGCTGGCTGCAATTGTTGCAAAGTACTGGATGACACGCTTTGTGTTCACAGTCTTCCCGGCACCAGATTCTCCGCTGTCAGAGTAAGGAGAGAAGCAGAGAGCGTGTGGTCAGGCAGGAGGGGCCCTGGCCCTGGGCAGCCCCTCAGGGACCCGAGCAGGGGGTGTACGTACGTGATCAGGATGGACTGGTTCTCCCGATCTGGGGAAGAGGCACAATGAGAGCTGTGTTAACCCTGGTAACCTGGTAACCCTGGGTAACCCTAAGCTGAATAGAAGTAAAGGTGTAAATAGAAGCTGGGGATTCTTCAGAAAGTCTAAGACTACCCAGTTCCCTTCTAGGTCCTAACGGTATTAAGAATAAGCCCAAATGGATATATTGAAGAGTCAGGGGCATCTGGACCTAAGACAAGCTATGTATCAACTTGCCCTTGACATAGTTCTCATCAGGAAATATAAACGCATTGCCTACCCATGTTCAAAGTACTGGATTATGTGGAATAATAACTTTCTTATCAGTGAAAAAATGTAGAAAACTGAGTCAAACACTATTTCTTCTACTGTGCAGTGGGAGAGTATAGAATTTTGTACAATAAAGTGAAAATAATACATTATAGTAAGTCTATGCATGCTTTTGGGTCATTTTCACTTGAAATTATTTGCTGCATAACTCACTCAATTTCACAGTCATGCAGCTCTGTGGTGCTTTTAGCTGGCTTGTCACGTGTCCCAGTGAGATCAGCAGGGTTTTTGATTAGATGGGTATGAGGGAAGTCAAGCACTCACCAGTCAGCATGAACTGATAGGCGTTGTCAGAGATGGAGAAGATGTGTGGAGGGGCCTCCTGGCGCTTCTTGCCTCGGTAGGCCAACACCACCTCCGGGTTGTACACGGGCAGCCACTTGTAGGGGTTGACAGTGACGCAGAAGAGACCCGAGTAGGTCTGCGAGGAAGGGACACAGCACGTTGGCTTCCCCTGGGCCTGGCAGAGCAGTTCCTCCAGCTGCCCAAAGGAAGCTGCTGCTGCCACTTACGTAGATCATCCAGGCTGCGTAACGCTCTTTGAGGTTGTACAGCACAGCGGGTTCGTGGAGGTGGGTCATCATGGCCATGTCCTCGATTTTGTCATACTTGGGAGGGTTCATGGAGTAGACTTGATCTTCCTTCACAGTCAGGGTCTATCAGAGGCAGGAGGACATGCATGGATGTCAGCTAAGAACCCAGAGTGGGAAGAAAATGTTGTTCTTCAGGCTTGTTTTTCACTCACCTCTCCCCCTTCAGTCTTGACAGTGACTTTCCCTGATTCCCTGCTCTGAATTGTCCCTTTTACAAAGGATTCTTTAGGATGTACCACAAAGACAGATGACTTGGCATCGAAAGGCTTGTTCTGGGCTGCAATTCTCTCCTTTTCTGACTTTCGGAGGTAAGGAGCCGCCTCCCCAAAAACAGCCATCTCAGCATCTCCAGAGGCCATGGCTGTTCTTTACGTCTGCTGAGGATACGTCAGCAGATGGCTCTGAGGAAAAACAGTATGGCACTGATTACTTACATTTTTTCAAGATTTGGGAAAATGTTATATCCTGTGCCTTGCTTTCTCTTCATACTCTGAGTATTTTAACATGAGATAAGTAGATATTTAATTTTACGTCAACTTAGAAAATAAGGGGCTTTCATGTAGTCTAGGTCTTCAAACACTCATTAATGACCTTTTCAGAACTATGGGTTTGGTGCTTTAAGAATACTGTGCCTGTAAGACAAGAGTGAATTTGTTAAGGAAGTTTCACTAAGACATCGCTATTAGGCAAATTCATTAAAAGGATGAACGGTGAAGTAAAACTACTGAAAAACTGTAGTGCAGGTGAACTACAATCTTGGAAAACATTGAATCTGTGGGACATTTACCTATTAAATGTAATGGTAATGCAAAGGTAGTGGGAAATTAATGAATGTTGCTAATGAAGTTGTCAACTGAAAAAGAAAAGAAGGGCAGGCTTTGTGGCCTTTTAATATTCTGCTACAATTTAATTTGCTGCACACATTTGTTGTCATTCACTACAACACCTAAATAATTTCAGCCCCAAAATTCTGACTTAGGTGAAATAAAATTCAAGAATTGAAATTGGAATTCCAGGACTGCGTTAAGATCCCAAGTAAATACCTACTGAAAAAATCCAGGAACAGGTGAGTTCTCAAATGTTAAAAACAAAAAAGAGGGTATTTCTTCAGATGATGTATTAAACGTGTAGGTACCTAAATTTAGCCAACTGCATTTGAAAATTCTCTAGCTACATTAGTAAAATTTATTCTATCTTTGTTCATTAGGTAATGAATATATTTTTTTGTCTGGAGTAAGAAAATGGGTAAGAGAGTTCTGGCACTTTACAAAGGTGGTTAGAAGGTGCATTTGCTCAGATGATTTATTAATTAATATATTCTTGGGCAGAATATAGGATTTTGCACTTTTTCCTGCTGTGCTTATCTGGTCCCATTCTCCTGCTGCCATAGCAAAGATGGGAAAGCAGCGCACCTTGATTTCTGTAAGGTTCAAGTAAGCAGAAGTGAAGAATGTCCCCATGGGCATTTTCTGGTCTATCATCAGTGTTCAGAGGCTTCAAACGCAGCCTTGGGCACCCCCCCTTTCTACTGCAATCCCACCAGGTTTGCACATAGGGTGAACCAGTGAGCCTGCCAGAAACCCCGTCCAAAGGGATCTGTCTCTGCCCTCTAAGAATCAGTAAATCAGGTTCTTACCTCCTGTGACACCAGATGGGTGGCTTGCAGGCTGGCAACTGGTCAGTACTGTAAAACAGAAATGGCAGTTCCCTCATTGCTGCTGCACAGAAATCCAGAGTAAAAACATGCAGATGCCTTGAGAGCAGGTTTATAATGGAGTCTCCTCCTGGACACGAACACTGGAAGCAGCAGGAATGTTGTGGCACATAAGGGCACCATCCCTTCCTGCCAGCCTGCAGACCCCCCTCACCTACCTTGGAGCTTTCCCTGGAGCCAGGGCAGACGTGTCGCAGGGACATTTTATACGATCTCGTCTGCAGATGCTACAGATGCCTCCTCTTTCTTCGGTCAAAACATTTTTGGCAAGCCTTCTTTGGTAAAGCATTGTCTGGCAAACTGAACTAAGGGCATAATTGTCATTTGACATGACTAGATATAATTAGAAAATTTTGATGTCTTACTGACTATATGAATACAGCTCCTATAAACAATCTCACAAGGGTGTTAGGGAGGGAATCCGGACTAGTCAAAGCACTTAGAGAACTTGGATTCAGGACTTATGGATTCTATTGCTGCCTTTCCCAACGACTCACTGCACAACCCAAGATGGATTTCTTGGTATGTCTGTCCCAGCTATCCCAGCTGTACAATAGATAAAACAAGATGTTAAAAGATAAATCACCATTATTAAAAACTTTTGGCAGTTTTGTTGGTAAAATTTTGAAAGCAGAGGTGCAGATGTAGAAGAGCTGAGCAGGATAACAGGCACAGCAGGATGGTCAGCCAAACACTGCAACAAGGAGAGGCTGGGTCCTACCTGGGCTTTTAAGCTGATGCCTCTGACAGAGACGTGAGGTAGCTTTGGGGATATCAGGAAGAGTGCGCACACACACACACACACACACACACACACACACACACACACGCAGAGGCATGTACATGCATGCCTCTTTGCAAATTGCAAATAAGTGGGAGATTCTCCAAGAAATGTTATTGTGAACCTTGTGAGGGATTATACCTCCTGAGACTTCTGATCTGCAGGTTAATGCCAGGGAGCAAGAGATACTCCCTGCTTTTGCCGAAAACTTCTTAGTTTTGTCTAGATATTCCCATGCCTGTAAACGTAGGAAGGGTAACTCTGATTTGGAATACCTTCCACAGGTTTTTTCCCTGCCTACAGCTGATAGAAGAATCCACTATTCACTCATGCCTATACAAATAATTGGACATATGCACAAACACATCATCTCAGCATGCAGTCCCAGATGCTCTCTATGCAATATATCCTCAGCCCAGCTCTTCCATTTCATCACAAATATCTTGCACACTTAGACATTTGAACAGTCCAAGACACCACAGTGATATCTTTACCAGACCACTGGGGGTGGCAGACATGCCTGTATAATGCTGATGGGGGGGGGAAGGGGATTTGCTGGTAGTGCTGGAGAGACACTGGTCTAGTTTCAGGAACAGGGCACAGTCACGTAAACTGTTTTAAATCCTGTCAGATTTAGGCTGAGGAACTTAATGCCTTCTTTGCCTTAGTCATCAACAAGAAGAGCCATTTTTCTCCGGGGAACCAGCCCCCTGAGCTGTTAGACAGGGATGGGGAGCAGAATGGACTCCCTGTGACCCAGGAGCAATTAGTGACCTGCTGAGCCACTTAGACACAAGTCCACAGAGCCAGATGAGATTCACCCGAGGGCACTGAGGGAGGTAGTAGAAGAGCTTGCCCAGCCACTCTCCATCATTTATCATCAGTCCTTGCTCACCAGAGAGGTCCCAGATGACTGGAGGTGCCAATGTGATGCCCATCCACAAGAAGTGTTGGAAGGAAGATCTGGGGAGCTCCAGGCCTCTCAGCCTCTCAGTGCTGGCAAAGGTTATGGAACAGATCATCTTGAGTGTTATCACGCAGCATGTACAGGATACATACACTACGGAGCCAGGCCCAGCCAGCACAGGTTTAGGAAAGGCAGATCCCGCCTGACCAATCTGATCTCCTTCTACGACCAAGTGACCTGCTGGGTGGGCGAGGGAAAGGCTGTGGATATGTTTACCTGGACTTCAGCAAAACCTTTGACACCATCTACCCCAGCATTCATCTGGAGAAACTGAGAGCCATGGCTTGGACAGGTGCATTTTCCCTGGGTTAAAAACACACTGATGGCCAGGCCCAGAGAGTGTCGGATGGAGTTATATCCAGTGGGGTTCCCCAGGGCTTAGTATTTGGCCAGTCCTGTTTAGTATCTTTACCAATGATCTGAATAAGTGGATCGAGGGCACCCTCGGGAGTTTTCTGATGGACACTAAGCTGGGTGGGAGTGTTGATCTGCTGGAGGGCAGGAAGACTCAGCAGAGGGGTCTGAACAGACTGGATCAAAGAGTCAAGGTCAATGGTGTGAAGTTCAATAAAGTCAAGTGCCAGGTCCTGCACTTTGGCCACAATAACCCCTCACAGCGCTCCAGGCTGGGGAAAGAAAGTCTGGAAAGTTGCTTAGCAGGAAAGGACCTGGGAAGTGCTAGTCAACAGCCACTGAACATAAGCCAACATGTGCCAGGTGGGCAAGAAGGCCAGTGTCATCCTGCCTATATCAAAAATACTGTGGCCAGCAGGAGCAGGGAAGTGACTGTGCTGGGCGCTGGTGAGGCCACAAGCTCGAGTGCTGCATCCAATTCTGGGCCCCTCACTGCAAGAAAGACATTGAGGGGCTGGAGCATGTCCAGGGAAGGGAATGGAGCTGGGGAAGGGTTTGGAGCACCAGGAGCAACTGAGAGAGCTGAGGGGTCTCAGCCTGGAGAAAAGGAGGCTTGGGAGGACCTTCTCACTCTCTGCAACTCCCTTATAGGAGGATGGAGTCAGGTAGGGGTCAGGCTCTGCTCCCAGGGAACAAGGGACAAGACAAGAGGAAATGGCCTCAAGCTGTGCCATTTAGATTTAGGGGAGGTTTAGGTTGGACCTCAGGAAGAATTTCTCCACTGATAGGGCTGTCAGGCATTGGAAGGGGCTGTCCAGGGAGGTGGTGGAGTCCCCATCCCTGGAGGTATACAAGAAACACTGGATCTGGCACTCAGTGCTCTGGTCTAGTTGACAAGATGGGGATTGGTCACAGGTTGGACTTGATGATCCAACAGAAAAGATCCTATGTTATTCTACATGGACAGTCCAGCTGAGAGTGCTGGGCTAGATCACCTGACTTTGTGGACTGAAAAATCTTTGCCTTCCCAGTGGCTAATGACAAAGCCAGTGTACTCAGAGAGCTCTTCTGGGTTTTTACTGTGGTGCTGTGCAGGATGTGGACCCATCCTTGTCACAGGAGTGCAGCACATGGCCAGGCAGCTCTGGGCAGGCTCTGGGCAGGCTGAGAGAAGGTCTGATTTGAACAGGAAGTGCTCTCTGAGTTGAGATGTCTCCGGATATTGACAATCACTCAGCAGTTCTTTGGAGATTGAATTTAGTGCCAGTAAGTCCCCATAAGCCATGCTAGAAACACAGGGTCTTTTTTTGAAACCAGTCCAAATCGCAGAAAAGGGATGTGAAACAGGACATGGCAATGAAGGAGATGCTTTAATCCAGATGGCTTTTGAATATCTCCAAAGATGGAGATTTCACAATAGCTCTGGGAAACCTGTGCCAGTGCTCAGTCACCCTCACAGGAAGAGTGTTTCCCAGTTTTCACAGGGAACCTTCTGTGTGTCAGATTATGCCCATTGCTTCTTGTCTTGTCACTGGGCACCACTGAAGAGTCTGATTTCATCCTCTGTGCACCTTCCCCTCAGGTATTTATATCCATGGATGAGATTCACCTGAGCCTTTTCCAGGCTGAATAGTCTCAGGCCTCTCAGCCTTTCCTTAGGAGAGAGATGCTCCAGTCACTCATTGATCTTACTGGCCCTTTGCTGGACCCTCTCCACTAGCTCTATATCTCTCTTATACTGGGAAGCCCAGCACTGGACACAACACTCCAGGTGTGCCCTCTGTACTGATCAAGGGTAAGGATCACCTCCCTCTATCTGCTGGCAACACTTCTGATGCAGCCAGGACACCGTTAACCTTCTTCACAGAAAGGACATGAACATGGCTTATGTTCAGCTTCGTGTCCCACAGGACCTCCAGATCCTTTTTTGTGAAGCTGCTTTCCGGGTGGTCAGCACCCATCATATACTGGTGCCTAGGGCTGTTCCTCTCCAGGTTCAGGGCTTTGCACTTGCTTTGCATTATTGGAGCCCAGATTGACCTCAGGCCTCACCAGTCCTCAGCTGCATACTATCCGTAACAGAGAAAGCATTTAATGTTAAATGGATTTCAGCAACTGTAGAATCACAAAGACTCAGGCCTTTACTGCTGTATTTACCTGTCTTGTGAACTGAGTTAACTAAATCATGTGTGGGTTTCCAGCTAAAGACTCTTTGTGACATTAAAGCGAAGCAACTCAAGTGCACAGATGCATCTATATTCCCCCAGTAACTCCACACTTTGCATACAAACAGAAAGAGATGCCTGTACGTTCAATAGAATATCCATGGAGACAAGAATATATATGCTGGTTTAGAGACCAAACCATTTGCCATTTACTTCAGAGACTTGGCCTTCACTGTCTCAAATATTGGACTATCCAGTTCATGAAACCAGTCTCTGTTTGATCCTTGGAGAAGAATCTCGATGTTAGGACTACAACCCAGCAGGACCCAGTTCTAACAGTGGTTCTGGCCCACTCTGACTGAAGCTGTTCTCAATATCATGCCACAACAGCTATGTGGAAATAGGCAGCCTGAGGGCTGAGGAACAGGAGCTTGTGACCCTATTCAGTAGGAGAACTAGCACTGTTATCTCAAAGGTGTGAATCTGGCAGCTTTCCTGTCACCAGAAAGAATCAGCACATTCCTTGGCACAAAGAAATGGCAGCTGTAAACCTAATCCACTGAAATGGGAAGGAACAGGTTCTCTGTCCCCAGAGTCAACAGGGAAGAAACTCTCTGCCAATCTGTTCTTCCTGGTCTGAGACTGCATCCCTTGATCTCTGACAGCCCAGGCACACTCTGGTTGCAGTCCCCTCCTCAGGAGGGAAGGCAGCCTTCTATTCAGAGGGATGCTACAGGATTCACACAGGGAAACTCAGGAAACTGAAGACAGTTGCATCCTACAAGGAAGATTTGGAATGCTGCCTGATTGCCCAGGGTATAGAGGGGCTGAAGGATATACTGTCCCACCTAACCCTGTATCAAATGTGGCAGGAGGTCCTACTTTGCCCGAGGGTTTCTGTGAGCATATGCAAATCCACAGTGTGACTATATATGCTGGCTGAAATTCAGAGACTATTGTTACTGTGGATCCCTAATGGGAATTTCTGTGCCCATCACAGGTATTGACTTATGTCTATGTTAGTATCTCTATATGAGTACCTCAGGACCAGTATAAATCCCAGCGTTAACATAATGTGATTATGGGTATGTTGGCTTTGCTTGGTGCCTTGGAGTGAAATCCCTGAAAGGTGTTTGGTATTAATCATTTGAGGATTGAAGGATTGCTGAAATCTAGCAAAATCCTCCAGAATGGTGCATATGGAAATGTAGCCATATGCGAAGAATAGTTTGCATACCAAGTTCAGCTAAAATTACACACTTTACATTAAATAGTACTGCCTCCCCCACTAGCAACATTTCTAGATGACACTGAGTGTGTTGCCCCCCTGTCTGTCAGTTGTACTTCAATGCAAAAACAATCTTGGTGCCACAGACCAGCTGGGGTGACGGGGTCTGATTGAATTTAGTGTTAAAATTCAGTGTTAAATAGTCCAGTGCCATTCAAATTGAATAGCAAGGCTATTCTAGCAACTCCTCTGGAAGAAACAGCATTAGACAAGCTCTTTCAGACAGTCATAAAAAGAAGATAAAATGTTAAAATATTTTCACTCGAAAGCTCTAAATTCAGATCCATTTCCTTTTTTCCTCATTTGCATTAACTAAATAAAACACAGAAAACAAGAATTTCTCCTTTGGTGTTTTCAGCTGATGTTTTAAAATATCTGTTTGAAGAAAATTAGAGCTAAAGCAATGGCAGATGTAAGAGCATGTGTTGTGAACACATAGTACATGAATGCTCAGTGAATGTTTAGACAAGAAAGACACAGGAATAAGTTTGTGGAGGCTGGAAGAGGAGGCAGGAGAAAGTGCAAAAAAAGTTGGGCAAATGACCCAGCATTCAGCGTTGTAGTGTAGGACATAAAGCTCACTAAACGAAAAGTGAAGTGTTTAGTCAGCTGTCATGAGCAACTCTGGAGGGCAGTCTAAGCTACTGAGCATCTGCTTTGGATTTGGTTTAATTTACACAGCTCCTCTCTCTCACTCAGGTATCGTTTATATGGCACTGGTATAGTGGTTTTTTGCAAAGAGACAGTCTCTAATCTGAAATGGATGATCTAGATTTCACTGTAGTTTAACTCTGTAGATCCCAAAAAGTTACATCAGGGAAAACTTTGCCATGTTTCTTATACCCAGGCACAGCAAGGAGAAATCTGTCCAGGAAGGAATCTGTTGAAAGAAGTGCAAGTGCCTCAATGCAAAAAAACATGCAATGTTTCCTGGGGACCATTAACTTTCTGTCAATCCTATTTCCATCTCTGCAGGCCTTGACTTCACTGGGACCAGAAGCAAATCACAGCACAGATAAAAGGGAAGCAGCAGGCTGAGAGCCATCTCTGGATACAGACTGTCCTGCACAGCAATGTGGTGTCGGGAAGGCACACATTCCCCTGGAGGAGAAAGGGTTCAGTCATGCTGAAAATAGATCCTTCTTGAGACAATTATCAGGCAGCTGCTCCCTTTCTGCCAGCCCTGGAGATGTGTATTTCCTTCTCCCCATCCCAGTGGTTGGCTGAGGGACAGGGGCAGTGAGAAGGCACTTTTAGGTAGGCAGCAGCCCGGCCGGAGAGGGGAAGGGGAAGTGCCTGCAGATGCTGTGTGTCAGCTGGTGGGAACCTCCATCTCCTGCCTGTTCAGAGTCATCAAGATCATGAACTGGAAAAACAAGAATGTGCCTATATGGCAGGAGGTTTTGCAGTAGGAAAAGGAATCTTTTCTTGGAGTCTGGTGATCCAAAATCTTTAACCACAGGAGCTACTCTCAAGCTCTCTGCTTTGTGCTCCCCTAACTAGGACAGAGGGCCCTCCAAGAGGAAGGATGTTGGTGGATATGAATATGAGTGCTCTCACTGCAAAGAGTCACAGAATCACAGAATATTCTGAGTGGGAAGGGACCTACAAGAATCACTGAATCCAGCTCTTAAGTGAATAGCCCATACGGGGATCAAACACAACCTTGGTATTATTAGCACCATGTTCTAACCAAAACCAGGGAGAATCGAGTACTGTGTGGTGCTAGAAGTGGGGCCAGTGGATTGTAGAAAGCTGTTCTCCCTTCTGCTTGACTCTGCTGAGTCCTCATCTGAAATGATTTGTCCAGTTTTAGGTTCCCCATTTCCAAAGGGAGGAGAACTAAAAGGTGAGAGTCCAGCAGGTGGCTGGCAAGATGAGCAAGGGACTGGAAAACTTATGCTGTGAAGAGAGTTCGAGAGTATGGTTAGTTTGAGGGGGAAAGGGCTAATGTACATGAGGGGCAGCTACAAAGACAATGTGCCAAACTTTTTTCCTGAACAGCAGACAATGTAACAAGGGGCAATAACCACAGATTGTTGCTTGAAAATCTCCACTTGGACACTAGGAAAATTCTCAGACATTAGGAAAATTCTCACCTAGATATTAGGAAAACTCTTGACTATTGAGTAATGAAGAAATGGCACAGGTTACCCATAGAGCTTCTGGAGTCTCTGTCTGAAAAGCTTGGCTCACCAAAGCCATGGCTAATTGGACCAACACCAGCAATAGATGTGCTTGAAGTGGGAGACTGAACTAAAGAGCTCCAAATGGTCTGTCACAACAGCAGCTCTGAGGCTTTAGTGTAGAGGTTTCCTCATCTATCCAAAGCGGACAATTGCTCAAAGCTAATCAGCAAAGGCATCTGCATCTTCACTTCTTGTGCTAAGAAAACAAAATTTCCCTGGGTCTTGAAAAACAGTATTTCTCAAGTGGACAACTGGGTATGAGTCTTTGATTCCACTGCTTTGTTGGAGACAGTTAATTTCATGCAACTTGCCAAAGCAAATCCCTCCAGAACACCAATTCCATAATATTGCTTCTTAAGTACATCATCTGGAAATATCCTCAGCAGCAGGAGGCTTTGGTTGCTTTCAGTCCTTGAAGAGCAGCATGACATGCAGGCAGAGTCTGAGAGCTGTGGAGCTCACTGGGGCAGCAAAATGCATCCCATCACATCAGCAAGGAGTTCCACCAGGTGAGGAGTGGCAGGGTAGGCAGAGTATAGGAGTGTCCTCTTGCTACCACAGGCTGGACACATTCACCGTGGTAATTGTATGCTGGTAAGCATTTCCTCAGCACACCACAGACAGGGCTTTAGGGATCTGGTACAAACATTTTTTCATTCTGAGACACCAAGTACCATTTGTCAGAAAATATGGGTATGATACAGTAAGCAGCAGCTAACATACCATCTGTGGGGCATTTCTGATCATAACATAACATTGAAGAACATAAGATTACATGATGTCCCTGCCCATGTCAGGGGGATTGGACTAGATGGGCTTTATAGGTCCCTTCGACCCAAACCCTTCTGTGATCTGTGTGATCCTGTGAATAGCAGACTCTCATACCCAAGACATTTGTCATCACCCCAATCTCCTCAGACACCCACCCTCTGCATGATGGTCCATCCGGGTGATGAAGTCTTCTAGAGCACAAACCATCTCAAGCTGGTGAAAAATGTCACGTGACTGAAACAAAATCCAAGTAATTTCCACACACGAAACTGTACTGAAAAGAATGTATTTGCTGTGCCCCTGAGAGACAGAAGAACAAGGACATTCCTATTATCTCTATATGAAGCCTAAGCCTTTGGCCTTCTCAGGTCTCAGTCACCTACTTATCCCCCCCACATGGAGCCTGTAATGCTCACGGGATACAGCAGACATCCCTTTCAACAGGGATCCCCTTGCGCACCCTGCTAGTGAGCCCTGGGAGGCTGGAGAGAGCTCAGAGCTGCTCAGTTCTGCTCCAGCAGGAAACCTCCTGCTGTGAGTCGATGTTCTGGAGAGCAGGCTCAGGTGCCTACACAGATTGCAGCGTCTCCTGTGCCTGGGGCCACTTCAGCTCCTCCTCAGGTGATTGGGGTCCCTGAGGGCCTGACCAGGAACTGAGAAGCGCTCAGGGCCATGGGAGGCATCAGGAATGTCTGCATGGATGTGCTGCTCCTCTGAGCACACATTACAGCTCAGGTGAAGGGAAATCAGCCCTGCATGTGGTAGGTCCCTACTGGTGAATACTCTGCCCTACTTAACTCAATCAACTTGCACAGTGACTGGTCTTCAGACCCTCATAAACCACAGTAGATATTCCATAACATAGAACTTATATACATCTGTTCATTGTTTACAGACAAATCAATGTTTGATGTGTTATCAACTACCTCTTAATGCTGTCACACAGGGGACAGGCTTGGTAACAGCAGCTGTGCTTGGACATGTTTCTGAGGGTGGGTTCCTCTCATTTAGAGTGACAGTGTATGACCTAATGTTGAGACACTCAAAGATTTTTGTTCATTTGCTGCACCTGTTATTTTCAGAGGAATTAGCATATATTCCCTCAAAATCTCCAGAGGAAGAACGTTCTGCCTCATCACTAGTACAAAAGAAATGGTTTGTACAGCAAACCACAAACACCAGTTTTGCTTTTTTTGCCAAAATACAGATGGGCATTATAGCACTAGGATGCTTCCTAATCAAAGACACTGATGCTGCTTCTCCCTTGTATTGCTCTCTGTTATCAGAAATAGCATATGAGGAAAGGGGTTTTTCAGCCATTTTGATCCAAGCATTGGGACGAGCCTGTTCGCAGAGAGAGAGCCAGAAAGTGACTGAGCTTGAACAGGTAAGTGTAGGAAGATCACTGACTTTTCAGGCTTGCAGCTGGTGGGATAGATGGGGAAAAGCTGTGGCTGTGATTTCTGGGAGCAGCTCTTTAGTACTGCTCACTGCTTGGATGCCTTCCCACAGTGGGGATCCTGCCTTGCAGAACTCTGGCATAGGCAAAGCCATTTTGCTGTGGCCATTATGTGATTATTATCTCCTGTTCACTGGATGCTTGGTGAAAATCCAATTTCACTTTGCCTGTACTATTTATAATATTATGTAAGAATGCTCTTCTCCCCACCTGGTTGTTCTTTTCCCAGCTTGACAACCCAGTAGTCCCATCAATTTTGTCCTCGCTCTCCGTACCCTTCCTAACTGCACAGGCCAAATCTGCAGACAGCAGGTGGTCTATGGGCCTGGTACAATGTTTTCTTGTTTGTTCTCAGTTGATCCTGACAGTTCCTGATACTTTTTTTGCCTTCTGTGGTCACCAGTGAGCACTGACCTGACATTTGGAGGCAACTATTCACTATTCTGGTAGCCTTCCTATCTCCTAATCCCGGTCCTCCTTTCAGAGACTATGGACAGAGAAGCAGAAGTTCTGTTTCGTGTGCAAAAAGGGTTTTTCTGACTGGTGATTGTACAGTCTGCCTCATAAGGACAACATCTTTCTCAGTGGCTTTCACCAAAATGACTGTGAATGAGACTCTAGAGCAGCACAGCCCAAGTAACAGAGCAGTGGAGAAACGTAAAGCAGCAAACTTTTATTTGGGGTGAGAACACTTCAGTGAGTGTCAGAGTTGTGCTGTTCCTCAGACTTCCTCATGTTCCCCGTAAACACCAGCAGAAGAGCTGGCCAAGGAGGTGACATTCAGCATGCCCTTTCTGTCACCCACAAAAGCAGCTGAGGAGATCCTGTTACAGAGCAGAGGAGTGAGGTGGGCAGGCTAAGACGCCTCTGGATAAGATAAAGAAAAAAGAGAGCAAGTGGCAAAAGGGGGAGGGAAGGAAAATCAGGATTAAGTGCATAATATTATCACTAGCAGCAACTGTATCCTAAAAAAGATAGCAATGAGGTGATATCTTCCTCGGCTGGCACTCATTTGTGACAGATGCACAAATCCCACTTCTGGGAAAATTTCAGTGCTGTAAATGGAAATAAATTTGTATGGAATTTCTATAAATCTGCTAACTTTAAAAATTAGACTTTTCAAGGTTAAGACAGCCCAGTGGTTAACCAGAGAATTTTCTGAGTGATGGAGTCACTGCAGTGAAGTTTCCAACAAGATACATAGCAGAATCTTCTAGTGACATTTTCTGAACTAACTTTTTGTGTGTTGCAGAAAAGTTCCTTTTGCATCCCTAGGAAATTTATCAACTGTCTCATTATTTTATGTTGGCAAACAGACTCCATTGGGGGTCAGGCTAAACATTCTCTTAATTGCTGTCTGCAGCCATCTGAAATGCCAAGGAAAGGATGCTGCTCCCTGAAGGGCAAATCAGTTGTGCAAAGCAGAACAGCCCCAGCAGAAGACAATGATGACAATGTGACACCAGATAGCCCAAAACTGGTGTGTTTGACATCTCAGTCAGGACTGTGGCCTGGGAAAATACGTGTTAAATCTTTCACAGCTCAAGATGTTCTGCCAACTTCAGCACTGCTTTGCTGAGAAACACAGGTGTATATTGTCTTGCAAATCAGTCCCTCAGGTCCCCCAAGTGCCTGCTGCTCCCTGACAAGTGTCTTCAGGTGAACAGTAGCTGTCATGGTGCCTCAAAGGGTCTTGCTGCAGACTCATGACATGACTCCCCGCTACTGTTTACCTCTCACATTGGCTAAGTTTGGGCATTCTCTGCCTGGGCTCTGATCCCAAAGTCTTCATATGTACTGGACTCTGTTTCCCCAGCAGTCCTGTGTTGGCATCAGAGCTGTGGTGCTGGCATTGGGGGGGAGGAGGATGGGGTTGCAGGGCCTGTAAGACCACAGCTGTGACACCCTACCAGCAGGGATCACATGGTCATAGGACAAGGGGGAATGGCTTCAAACTGAAAGAGATTAGATTTAGATTAGATCTTGCAAAGAAACTCTTCTCTGTGAGGCCCTGACACAGGTTGCGCAGAGAAGCTGTGGCTGCCCCATCCCTGGAAGTGTTCAAGGCCAGGTTGGATAGAGCTTGGAGCAACCTGGGCAAGTGGAAGGTGTCCCTGCCCATGGCAGGGGGTGGAACTAAATGATATTTAAGGGCCCTTTAAAATCAAACCACTGTGGAATTCTATGATTCCTCCTCTCCTGGGGGTCCTGACAGGAGTTTACAATGTGAACTGATGAATTTTCCTTTACCAACAAAGAGTTTCTGAAGAGGGATATTTTCAACCATTTTCTCTACTACTGCATTTAAGCTCTCTGGCTGTCCACGTGGAGCTATATGAGCCCATCAGCTGCATCTATTTAAAACAATTTTTCAGAGATGATCATTTATAGCCACTCTTTTCTCAAGACCTTTGCACAAGCCCTTATCAGGTGACAGGCAGCCTCGCTCCACAGAGTGTCAATGCAAAATGATCCCCATTCCCCATAAAGCAGTGAGGAATTCATCTTCCTTAAATCAGTGTCCTTCTTTGATCCTCATAATCCATCAGACTTCATGGTAGTTGCTGTCAGAGGTGATTTTTGTTCCTGCATGCATCCTCCCCCAGCTCGGAACAGTTCATTCGTTCCTTTCCCCATTACGTATCTTCCCCATCCTCCCAGGATGGGCAGGAGCAGCTCTCACTACTGAGAGACACTTGGCTTCTGCTCCCAACTCCTCCTCCACTTCAAGGTTGTTTGGGTTTTCTTTCTTGGATGATTCTTCATAAAACATGTGCCTAGGTGGTGGCCCCTGGCTAGGCTCACACAGAGTGACAATCCAGGTCCCTGTGGGATGGGCCACAGCAGCAGCTCAAAACTCAGGCCACTCTGCACCCCCCCATCCACTTACCCTCTGTCAGTGAGAACAGCAGCTTTTGGGGCTGCTGGACCCCAACTCAGGCTGTCTGGGGAGCAGGCTGGGGCAGCTGAGGTCTGGTCATGTTTTGGGGCTTCCAGACTCCAGCCAGGGACTCTCAGTAGTCCCTGAATTCTTCACCCTCTGGGAAGGTCTGTATTTTCACTCCCTCATCCCAGTACAACTTGTGTTCCCGGCTTGGGAAAATGTTGCCTGGGATGAGCTCTGCTCCGCTCAGCCCCATGTGCCACCTCAGTGGTAAGGAAACAACAGACCGCTTCCCTTTGCAGAATAAATACAGTAAATCATTTCTTCAAAACTAAAACTAAGCTCTATAAAGCACTGAAGAGATGGGATATGAGTTAGTCTTTTGCAGATTATCATTGTAGGGTTTACCAGATTTCCCTCAGATTTCTCCTGACCTTTCTTCCCCAAACCTGATGCTGAGTTGTCATTTCTTCCACCCCCACATCCTCTACCATCTTACACCTATTTCTTTTCCCCACACACATCCATCTTGCTTTCCTTCTCCCAGACACTCTCTGCACTCACCAGCATGGTTTCAACCCCCCCTCAGCACTGTGGTTACTTTTCCACACTCTCTCACCTAGCAGCTCACCACTTTTTTTTTCTGCAACAAGAGTCACAAAACATCAAGTTCAGCTGCCCACACATAATGCACTGGGGCCCAGCTCTATTGATCTCAATGTGTTCAACAGGCTGCTGCTCCTCCTCCACCTCGCTGAGAGAGGGGACAAGACTTTCTGCGATGTTGCCGTTCCTGGAGCAAGTTTGGAGCAAGCCCTGCCTTCCTCACCAGGGAAGGGATTCATAGGTTGGGGCCTCTTGCTGATTCGCAGAGCAAAAGATGGGCTTTCAGGAACTTTTGTGTTAATTTGTTAGTTTACAAGAGAGTGGATGCCCCCATGCACCACAACTGAGCCCAGCTGACTGCTGGAAGTACCTGGGCAGCTGTTGTGTTCCCTGTGGGACAGCACGTCCCAGGAGAGAGGGGAGAGCGCCCAGGTGCTGGGTTGGCACAGCACGGGCTCCAAAGGGGCCACTCTGGATTCAGACTCTGAGCAGGGAGAGCACGCTCGGGCCGCAGTCTGACATTTAACCTTTCAGCTGGGAATGGAGTTGTGCTGGAGCAAGTCTCCCTGGGGTAAGAATAGCATCTACTGTCTTGGGACACAGCACAGTTGTCCAGCTCCTCCACGGCAGTACACGGCACTGAGACACAGAAGGCAGCCTACCCTCCCAGGAATGTCTCAGGCACTATTAGTGGAAGTGAATCATGCCCACAGACAGGCACGACCCTGAACAGGAGTCTTAGGAGATCAGGGCTATTTTGGGCTTTTGACATTGAGGATGAAAGGAAACACATGATGGGCTGATCCTCCTGGCATGGGCAACCTCCAAAGCCCTCTGTAGCCTTGTCTCCTCCACTAGGAATGTCCCTTTGAGGGATGAGGGGTGATTTGGTGGGACCTAGGAGCCCGGGAGGTGGGGGCGGAGGGAGCTGTGAGTTTGAAGGGCGTGCAGGGCCACCTGTGCCCAGCCCTCAGTGCCACCAGCACATTGTGCTTACGGCAGGCCCTGTCGGAGGGTGTGCACCTGCCCCTGAGCTTAGGGCACACAGCTGACTGCTTTATTTTCATCCACATCCACGAGAGTTAGAGAGATACCAGAGGGGAAACACAAATCTTTTGCAGCCAGGAGGATATTTAACTCATTCCACCTGAAGCTCTCCATCTCTGGGTGGTTCTTCAGCATCAGGAATGTTTGAGAGGCCCCTTTTCCTCTTCCCAGCCATCACAAATTCCCTCCTCAACTTATTCCCATCCTTTTAACATCCTCTTTCTTTTTCTAGTATGAATTTCTTTCATTCCACTTTTTTATGTCTCATTTATTTGTTTCATTTTCATTGCTTTGTGAAAAGTTGCACATTAAGCTGTTTGGGGAATAATCCCCATTCTCCCTGAAGAGTTTTCCATCTGGATCAACAAGCCAATTTTGCCCCCACATTCAGCTGGAAACACAGCAGCAGTGTTAGCAGGCAGGAACAAGTGGTCAGGGGATTGACTGTGTGTTGGGCAGCTTATAAAGTTCTGCCACTAAATGCAATCCTACAGCCCTGAGGATTGATCTCACGGTAGCTCCTGGAAAAAGGATACTGGGTATGGTCCCAGCCTTCTAAGCCATTCCCAAGCACATCCAGCACTCCTGCACATGAAGACTCCATTGGTTCAGTTGGCAGACAAGAGACACAATTCCTTATCCATGGGCAAGTTATTTTTTCCAGCAGCCTAAAAAGTTAAACTGCCTCCTGCTACAACCCCCCCAGTCTGGTTTTGCCAGCACCTCTGTGCTCACTGGGCACCCCCTGTGTCTCTCAGAACACAATACAACACAGGCTGTGGGAGCTGTGCACAGTCCCCCCTTGGCTGCTCACTGAAAGATCAGACTGGTTATAAAGGCTTCCCCCCACCCCATTTGGTGCCATGTGATGTGGTTCAGGTTCCTGCAGAGCACCTTGCCAGGTGGAGACTCAGTCAGGGCCTTAGCACCTGGTCTCTGCTGTGGCAGGCTCTGGGATGGGTTGTGTGCTTCTCTGAGGGTCTCCAGCAGTGGAATGTTCACACTCGTGCTGCTCTGAACCATCAGCGCTGGCTAAACTCCCTCATAGTAACTCGAGTTGTGAAGGTTTGTGCCCGTGGCCAGGCATTTCTTCCAATTTTCTTATCATGCGTCATCGGTACAGTTCAAAGCACACCACAGGCTTCCCACAGAGCTGCACTGCTGCCAGCAGGCCCTGAGCCCAGATCTGCAGTCCTGCTCTCAGGATCCTCAACTCCAAACCAGCCAGACCCACACACATGGCATGTTATGCCAACGCAGGCACCATGGTTTACAATCAGCCTGGGGGCTCAAGGTGCAGGTGGGAGAGCCAGGCTCTGCCACTGCCATCCAGAGCCCACACGTTAACCCCTTTATGAAATGGGGGAGAGCTGCACTGCCAGCAGAAAGGAGCTGGTGTAGTGAGGGTAGGAATTATCCTGCTAAAGTCACATCCCTGTAGAGCCTTGCAGGGATTGCTGAGGCTGCTGTGCTCTGCACACTCTGCTTGAGCAGGTGGGGGAGGTCTCAGAGGCCCAGGGATGGTATAGCTGGGGCAAGAGCAAAAGAGCAAACTTAGTACCAAAAGCAGGACAGAAGGTTGGGATTACATGATAATGCCATGCTGATGCCTAGACACTCTGAAATGAGTAATGCCAGTCTGATTAGGGTTGCTAGACTTACCTATCAGTTAGTAATTTCCCACTGGTTTTGCATGGCTGCTCCTAAGAAAATTACAACTCTTTTTCTACAGGTTTATGAAGTAGATTATTGCACTGGGTAACCAGGCATTTGACATGGTGGAGTAGGATCAGTGACATGGCCTAAGAGCAAAGCAGGACTTGGGATTCCATCCTGAAGCACAGCACTGTGCCTTGAGCTGCTGAGAACAAGGTGCAGAAATTCCCCTGGGAAAGAGCTGCTTCCAGGCAACAGGAACTGAAACAGAAGTCATCCCATGGGAAAGAAAAAAAACAACACACCTAGATATGTCCCAGTGGGTGTGAAAACTAACATTCAATTCTGATTCCCCAAAATCACAAGCCCATAATAGTGGATGGAGGCCTGTCTTGAAAGGATCATGGTGTGGGGACAGTTTTTGGGGAAACTATGGCTAGACTGACTGATAAGGTTTATTAAAGTTCCAGATTTCTCAGACAAACCAAAGATCTTGCATCTTATCAATTCAGTATTTCATTAGGTTATTTTCTGGAAAGTAATAGGAGAAGTTGGGCCATTGCATAATAATCATTATCAAATGGTCTCAAGGAAATGTAAAAAAATCAATTGTAACTAGGGCATTAGTTCACAGATCTCTGGAAAACAAGGCAAGAGGGGAAATCAGTAACCCCAAACGCTGCTCAGCCTGGCAATAGGGTCATCCTGGCTCTTTGCCAATGAGCATGAGTGCACTGGGTGAAGAGGGATGAAAAAAATGTGTCTGACAGGGAGCCATGGTGAAACCTTCAAAGGTGTCATGGGAGGGACAGGTGTCTGCTGATTTTATTAACCTTTATTAACCTTTTTGTAGTTGAAAACTGAGAAAGATGTGACATCCATCACTCTTTTTCAGACAGGAGTGACAGAACATCTTGGATTTCTCCTCTCCCATCCTTGTTATTTGTCAGCAGAAGCAGGCCAGACTCCTTCCTGAGCACTGCCTGGCTGTGTCCTCGAGATAGATAAGGAGACCCATTTTGATATACCTTTCCTAGGCACACAGATGTGAAGCACTCACCTAGAACTTCACAACAGTGTCAGCATCCTATTTGACACAGTGCCTGGTGCTATGCACAAATTAATTCAACTTCTCAGAGCACTGGAATGTCTGCCCAAAGGTATCCCGTTCACTCTCCATCCCTTCCAGGGATGTCTTCTCAGCAGTCTGCTGGGTTTTCTCCCTACCTGAAATCCTGCAGTTTCAACTATGCCATACATTCACCACAAAGTAGCAGAACGCATCTTTGTCCTTGGGAAACACCAAGCAGAATTATGGTGCCCAGTGCCACTGGGGAGATGAGCTTCAGGCAGCTACTCAGACTTTGCTGCTGGCACTGCAGAGCATTTGATAACCATTTCCATGGGAACAAGCACATAAGACACGTAAGTTCAAGTCCTGCTCTGCTTGGAGCTGCAACACTTGGTAGGTCAGAAGTGGGCCAACTTTCTGACGGGTGGTTTGACTGTAAGGAGATTCTAAGCAGTCAGTTTGCAATGCACACAGATGGCTGTGGGCTCACAGGCTGCACCAGCCTCATTCTCCCATGCAGAAGTACAGCAGTGTAACTAGGCACGAGCACTGTAATTTTGCTCACGTTACGTGTTTGATATACCACATCTGTTTGTACAGTACTTTATTTTCAGCTTCATGTAACAAGGTCAGGATACCTGCTTCCAAACAGAAGGTGAGGAGGAAACCTGTCAAACATCTAGGTTTTAAATTCAGGATAAAATTGGTCAAACTGATCATGGCAGCAGTAAGACTTGAACACACAGTTTTGACTATGCTAAGCTTAGCAACAAAATGACTCTCATTTGAACATCCACATTTGGAGCATCTGAAGTTGCAGGTATCTATTTTATTGACACTGGTACAGCAGCAGTGACAGAAAATGTGTTCACAAACAAATAGAAGATTACTTCCTATGAGTGTAGCTCTAGCTACTGCAAATCCACAGCTGGAAAGATACTTTGTGGAAGTTCTGGTTATCCCAGAGGAAGCTCATTTTTCAGTTCCTAACACCACCTGGAAAGGAGAGGCTTTGTTCAGTCTACACATGTCCAGATGAGTCTTTTGATCCCTGAAATCATCCATCCCAATGCACCATCCAGGTAGGATGTGCAAGTGGAAACTAGACCAAGGCAGTGATGTCTGTAACACATCACCACACATCATGCTGTTGGACTGATGGGTTCAAATGCACAAACATCTGTTGGCTTTCCTGAAGTGCTACTTTCATGCTGCATTGCTTAAACAACCCCCACCCTCTGGGATAAGGAGTACACCAGCATTTCCAAAAGTGAGTGTATAGCTTGGAAGGGCTTAAAAGATTTAGGCATCACAATGATTAATTTTTAGGCCTACCAGAACTTGTGCCACGAACTTATGCTCAGTATATACTGCACAGTATCAGGTAACTCAAAGGAGGATCTAAACCTGCAGCAGATTGCAGAGAGTGGCCCATAGTCAGTCTGCTCAATCTGCCTTTACCTAAGCATATCCAATAGGAGATACTTGAAATCTTGCCACTGTCTGGGCTTCCAATTCAATTAGAGATTGAACATTCCCTTTATAAAGTAGTCTCATGTCTAGAGACACCTGGAAGACCCTAGACTGAACCTTCCTAGTGTGTCCCCTGCTTCTTGGCAAGATATCCTGGCAAGCACTGAGGAGTCAAAGCCTTTTCCTGCTGCAGAGCATTCGGTGACAGTGAAAGCTAGCAGAACCAAAAGTGTCTGTTGAGTCTCAGGCCAGATCCTTCAGGAGAAAACATCTCTTCCAGAGTGAAAATGCTGCAGAAAGCAGTCTGGAGCTGAGGTTCTCCATTTCCTAGATATGTCCTCTAGGCCCTAGTAGTTTTTCCAAGACATGCACTGAGTTTTTTTACCTCCAGCCACAAACTATGCTAAACTAGTGCAGTCAAAAGATCACACTAGGAAAGGTAGCTCCAGATCTTGTGCCAGTCTTGGGTTAGAGATAGACAACTGCCTGGGAAGTTCAGCTAAAGACATAGAACTGCTGCTCTTTTCTCAGTCAGAATGCTAATTCTGCCTAAGGCTCACAGAAGGGATGTTTTAGGAATGTTCAGAGTTAGGTTGACTTACATTATTTTCACTTAATGAAGCAGCTCCTTAAATCTGAAACTAATCTGATGAAATCAGCCACAAAGCAATCCTCAGCACCAGAGCCTGAAATGCCAGAGGCATCGAATCATAGTTCACAGAATGTTGTGAGCTGGAAGGGACCTTCAAAGATCCTCTGGTCCAAAACTCCTGACATGGCCAGGGACATCTTTCTAGTGAAAGACCAGGTTGCTCAGAGCACCATCCAACCTGAGCCTGAACATTTCCAGTGATGGGGATCCACAACATCTCTGGGTAACCTGTGCTAGTGCCTCACCACTCTCATGATGAAATATTTCTTCCTTATGTTCAATTTATTTAATTAAACATACCCTATTTCAGTTTAAAACCATCATCCCATGCCCTACCACTAAAAGCTGTCCTAAAAAGTCTTTCACTGTCTTTCTTATAAGTCCCTTTTATATACTGAAAGGCCAGAATAAGGTCTCCTCAGAGCTTTGTCTTCTCCAGGCGGAACAACACCAACCCTCTCAGCTTTTCTTCAAAAGTCCCTCCCTTCCAGAGCTGTCCTTTTGAATGGTGGCTGTACCTACTGGCAAGGCACAAACCTGCTGCTCAACTTGCTTGAGCAAACAGCACAACTGTACACCTGCCTCCTGCTGTGAAGCCTTACCTTTGTAGCAGGGCTTTCTCGGGCTTTGGCTCTGAGCTTGTTTACTTGGCTCTCAGCAATAGCTACCCTTTCCTCAGCCTCATCTATCTTATGTTGTGCTTTTCTCAATTTGGAGAGATTAATATTGGCTTGTTCATCCTGAAATTGCAAAACAAAAAAGAAATTAAAAGCCATCTGGCAACATGCTGAGGCACAGAGCCAGCTTTTAAACTGACGGTACTATGAACTGGTAAATAAGTATTTGCTTCAGTTTAGTGACTCACAGCTTCCTCAGCTTGTCTTTTGTAGGATTTGATTTTCATCTGCAGTTTATCTACCAGATCTTGTAACCTCATCATGTTCTTCCTGTGTTCTTCATTCTGAGTAAAGAGAATATGCAATTACATGTCCTTGGGGGACAAAACATCAGGAGAATTGCTTTCTATTTTTACCCACCTGGAGAGTGAGCTCTTTGACATGCCGCTCATATTTGCAGATGTTTTTCGTAGCCTCTGCAGATTGTTTATGTTCTTCTTCCAGCTCAGCTTCTAATTCTTGGATCTCGTGAATTAATCAACAATTACCTTAAGCAAGACTCACAAAGGACTTGGAGAAGAAAGGTGTCTCTTACTCCCATGTTCAGCTGTGGTACTCACCCTGGCCTCCAGCTTCTGGATTTGCTTCTTGCCTCCCTTCAGGGCCAACTGCTCGGCCTCTTCCAGACGAAGCTGCAGGTCCTTCACCGTCTGGTCCAGGTTCTTCTTCATCCTCTCCAGGTGGGCACTGGTGTCCTGCTCCTTCTTCAGCTTTTCTGCCATCATGGCCGCCTTGGGAGGAAGGTGACACAAGAAACCAGAGGAATGTGAAGGAACAGTGCATGCTGTGTACCAGCAGAGCATTTACTCCTGTTTCCTGATGACCATTCCTGCCACCCTATTTCCTGCTTCATTTTTTTTCCGTGACATGATAGTGGCAGAAACATGACAGGAAATAGTAGGAAAAAGGATGAGACAAGACTGTCTTGCTGCACACGCAGAGTTGGAATGACAGAAAGGGTAAATGCTCTGTCCCACTGTACGGTCACACTGTGACCTCCACTGCCAGCAAGGTGCCACAAAATCATAGAATCACAGAATATTCCAAATTGGAAGGGATGCACAAGGATCATCGCAGTCCAACTGCTGGCCCTCCAGATACCCCAGCAATCCCACCCTGTCCCTGAGAGAGCTGTCCAAACACTCCTTGAGCTCTGGCAGCCTTGGGGCTGTGCCCACTGCCCTGGGGAGCCTGGGCAGTGCCCAACCACCCCCTGGAGGAAGAACCTTTTCCTGAGATTCAACCTGACCCTGCCCTGACTCAGCTTCATGGATTGGGAAGAACAGGAACCAGAGGACCTGAGGGGTGGCTTTTTCCATTTTGAGATTCAATAACTTTGGAGGAAGCAACCAATTCTCTTCACCTTAGCAGGAGAGTATGGGGTTCTTTAATTCTGAAGACAAAAGAGGCTACAAGTGAATCCTCCTGAAAGCAAGAAACAGCACTGGGAGTTAGGAATTGCTGTCCAGATGTCCGTAGGGAAGGTCAAGGAAAGTCCTTTGCCACCAAGCCAGGAAGCATCTCCTGACACAGCAGTTTGGGATTTCCCAAGTGCACAGAAAAGAGGTTCACAGGGCAGGGACTCACTGATGTCTCAGGTGGGATTAGCAGAGCAAACCTGGAGTAATTTAAGCAAAATATTCCTCTAAATGCCAACAGAAATGAGGAGAGTGTCTGATTCCTTCTCCTGCACACAGGGCACAGCCGGAGCCACAGCAGAGCCTGGGAACAGGCTCTTGCGCTCAACACCTGGAGTGTGGTGGGTTCTGTGCTGTAGTGAGTGCCCTGCTATTTGCCACAACAGCCTGGAGGGCTACTGCCACAAGGCACAAAGTAGTTTAAAAGAATCTATGCTATTTAAGACAAACTAGGATTTAGTTTGCTCTCAAACATTGGACTCCTACGCAATAAAATGAAGATTTCGGTGAAATATTGAGTGACATCACTTACAAAAAGTGTAAAATTCAAGAAGTTGCTTTGGCAGCAAAATATCTGAAAAAGTGTATATTGAAAAATGTGAGAATAAAATAATGGCACTAGATATTTTATATATATATGTGTATGTGTGTGTGTATAATTTATTGTAACGTTCTATTTCTCTTTTATTCAAACAGAATAGAAATTATTATAAAATAAGAAGTTCCATATCAAAATGAGGAAGAACTTCTTTCAATGGAGGATGGAGAGCACTGGAACAGCTGCCCAGGGAAGGTATGGAGTCTCCCTCTCTGGAGACATTCCAAACCCACATGGATGCATTCCTGTGTCACCTGCTCCAGGCGACTCTGCCTTGGCGTGGGAGTTGGACTGGATGATCTCCAGAGATCCTTTCCAATTCTAATGATTCTGTGATTTTATTAAGGGGTTTTTTTTCATTTTAATGAGCAAGTGGAAAAGTTTTCTTTCTATTTTAACTCCAAATAATGTATTTAAGTGTTAAGATTTTGGTTTGCTCCTCTGCATCAAAAATGATTAACAGGTTGAGTTCCATGACATACCAGCCCTATGGCCTGGCTGAGCTTCACAGGCCTTGACATTTACAATTCTTATTTAAAAATTGTTAAATAGGATGTTGCAAAGACAACTATTCAAATACATTAGCCACTGTAGTGGTTTCAATACTGCAGGATTTCTTTGTGGATTACATTTTCATGCAGCACTGAAGAAAGTTATTTGTTTACGACCAACCAAATGTGGGTTTAGTCCATAAATTAAGGCAACAGCCCCAATAACTCATCTCTCAGCAGGACATGGTCCCTGTTGTTCTAATCCTCTTCTGACAGGTAGCCTTTTTAAGCATGCCCACAGACTGGTTCTTGTACAACACGTGACAGGAGTATTTACATTAACTCCTAGCAGCAATGCTTCTGGAAACCCTGAAAATTCAAAGGGAAAAACACAGTAACATCCTCACATCTGTCATTGCCTTCTTTGCTCTGTCTTCAGCACTTTTTGATTCATTAGTAACATCCTCTATCTCTCTTTGGATTTGTGCCATATCAGTTTCAAGCTTCTTCTTTGTATTAGAAAGGCTGGTGTTCTACAAAGGAGAAAGAGAGAGGCTTTGAGTGTCTGTTTTTGGTCTCTTACACACACAGACCACGAATTACTATTCATTCTTACTCCATGAACCTCTGGACCCCAAAATATGTCAGTCTTAGCAAAGGAAACTACCTGGGTACGGAGGAGCTGCGCACGTTCAGTGGCATCCAGGAGCTCCTGCTCAGCCACTTTCCTCGACCGCTCCGTCTGCTCCAGGGCTGCCCGTAGCTCCTCAGCTTCAGCCTGCAGCAGGTTTGCTCTGCGCTCCACCATGGCCACCTGCTCCTTCAGGTCATCCTGGGTCCTGAGAGCATCGTCCAAGTGTAGCTGGGTGTCCTAAATTTAAGAGTCAGTTTTGTCCTAACGAACTTCTCGAGTACTGTGCTTAAAAATAAATCAACCACAAGGCAAACAGAGACCTTGAGAGCTCCCTGGATGCTGTGCAGGTGTTTCTGTGCCTCTGCAGCCTGGCGGTTGGTATGGCTGAGCTGAATCTCCATTTCGTTCAGGTCTCCCTCCATCTTCTTCCTCAGCCTTAAAGATTCACTTCTGCTCCTGATCTCAGCATCCAGAACACCCTGCATTGTCTCCACAGTCCTTTCGTGGTTCTTTTTTAATTGGTTGATCTCCTCATCCTTGTCAGCAATCTTTCTGTTGATCTCTGTCTTAATCTGAGTCAGTTCTTGGTTGACAGCAAGGATTTTGACCTCTTCATGCTCAAGAGCTGCCTTTAAAAGAAAAAGGATAAAAACAAAGATGAAGGTAACATTTCAGAGAACATGATCAGTGACTTCACAGAAAATCCAAAACTTTGTGGCAATCAATATTGCACACAGGCAGTGCCAGGAAAGAGAACAAAAAGCTGCTTAGCATGCTCTATACTTTTTCCAGTAATATTTAAACTAACTCACCTCTGCCTCCTCCAGAGCTAATCGCAGCCCATTTTTTTCTACTTCAACTTGCTTTTTGGCTTTCTCGAGGTCTCTGATCATTTTGCCATTTGCAGTAATTTGCTCTGTCAGATCAGCTACTTCCTCTGTGAGAGAAGAATGAAATCAACCAGAGGAGCTGAACTCTATGCTCTGTGGCAGCATTCAGCACCTCTTTTGCATGTATAAATATGTATACACATACATACATGTGTACACAGTGATATATGTGTCTGCAAATACGTACAGATAAAAACAGACACAGTCAAGTCATGTAGGACAAGTGGGGCATTAGTGTGGTTTCACAGCCCTCCTTACAGGGAGCCTGGAAGAGCCCTGCATGTGTTATGTCTCTGGATAGGCCATCAGTGTCCTACAGGTCCTGTCATTGCGTTCAGTACATCTGTAAATCTCAGTTTCACAAGCTGTTACAGCCTCCTGAGGTCATCACCTTCACCTGGGAATGGCACCTTGATGTCTCTGCAGCAGATACTAGAGAGCCAGGACATTTGCTTTATTAGCTTTGTTGCTTTACAAACCTGCTTGACAACTTTTGGTGAGACATTGACACTCTCCATTAAGACAGAGAGCACAGTAATGACAGAGTCCTGTCACTCAGTGCATGTCCTGCAGACATGAGTGTCTGCCTTGTTGTGGTAAGATTGTGAGCAGCTAATCACAGAATCACAGAATGTGCTGAGTTGGAAGGGACCCCCAAGAATCATTGAGTCTAACCCTTAGCCTTGCACGGGTCCATCCCCAAGAGTCACCCCCTGTGCCCCAGAGGATCAGCCAAACCCTCCTTGAGGTCTGTCAGCCTTGGTGCTGTGCCCACTGCCCTGGGGAGCCTGTTCCAGCAGCAAAAGGGAAATCAGAGCCAAACACATACGCTTGTGAGTGTGGTTCTCCCGTTTGATTGTTTCAAGTTGATCTAAGTTTTCCTTGTAGGCATTTTTCACTTTGAAAAGCTCCGTGTCCAGTGAGCACGATTCTTTAGAGAGAGCTTCCAGCTCCAGCTGGCTTTCCTCATACTTCCCCTTCCATTCTGCCCTGACCTGAAAGACATCATAGGATCGTAGAATGGCTTGGGTTGGAAGAGACCTCAAAGATCATCTAGTTCCAACTCCCCTGCCATGGGCAGGGACACCTTCCCCTAGACCAGGTTGCTCAGAGCTTCATCCAAGCTGGCCTTCAACACTTCCAGGGACGGAGCAGCCACAACTTCTCTGAGAAACCTGTGTCAGTGCCCTCATAGGGAAGAATTTTTTTCCCAATTAGCCACCTAACCCTGCCCTCTGTCAGTTTGAAGCCATTGCCCCTTGTCCTGTCACTCCAGGCCATTGTAAATAGTCTCTCTCCATCTTTCTTGTCAGCTCCCTTCAGGTACTGGAAGGCTCCAATTAGGTCACCCTGAAGCCTTCTCTTCTCCAGGGTGAACAATTGCAATTCTCTCAGCCTTTCCTAATAGGAAAGGCTATTATGTTTTATTTCCTGCTAGTACTGAAAATATTATTTTATCTGGGGCTACACTTAAAAGATACTGCGCTCACTTCTCACCTTATTAAAGTTCTGCTGTTTCCTGTCCAGGGCAACGGCTGATGTGTTTGCTCTCTCTACATCCAGTGTCAGATCCTCCACCTCCCCCTGCAACTTCAAATTCATCTTCTCCAAGGAGGCACACTTGGAATTCACAGTCCCTGCCTGTTCTCCTGCTTTCTGGAGATGCTGAGCGAGTTTTTTCCTTAAAGAATATAAATAAAACATGCATATGATTGAAAAAAATCATTGCAGTATGTATGTCATTTTAACTAAGAGTATTGCAAACCCCACTAAAATAATTCAGGTTAGGCTACTAAAAGTAGATCTGTGTCCTGCACAATATATGTAACATCTGGACAGTTCATCCCACTCCCCACGTACTTGGCCTCCTCGAGCTCCTCCGTGCGCTGAATCGCGTCCGTCTCGTATTTGGTTCTCCACTGGGCCACTTCGCTGTTGGCCTTGGACAGGGCGCGCTGCAGCTCCCCCTTGGCTTCCTGCTCCTCCTCATATTGTTCCCGGAGCAAGTCACAGTCGTGGCGAGCGGACTGCAGGGCGTGGGCCAGGGCGTTCTTGGCCTAAACATTACCCATAATATTATGAATTTGTGTTGGCTGTGACCGGCAGGCAATCCCATGACCCTGCACACCTCAAATATGGTCACTAGCTTGGGCAGAGGGAAAAGGGCTGGGGCTTTGTAAGTGTTCAGGCAGCTGCCTTCAGCTGCCACCAACTTTTCTCAGCTCTATGCCTAGAAAAGACCAAGACTGATGCTTCCACCTTGGCATGTGCTGTAACTTTTCTTCCCTGCAGCTACAGAAGCAAAAGAAATCACATGGACTATGGCTTTAAAATTTAAAAACTTAAATCACTTCTAGCATGTCAGTCATCTGCAAAGAACTTAACGCAGTGCTCACTGTACACATCCTTCTCAAGAGTAATTTTATTGTGTTAGTCTGTGGGCAATACTTACAAACTTCCAATAGTGTTTTTTAAGTGAACTGAGACCCTGACACATTTTGAAGCCTTGCATGTGTTCAGTAGCTCACACTACCTCAATCTCTTCCTCTAACTGCCTCTTGAGTTCCTCCATTTGCTGTGTAAGTGCCTGTTTGCTTCTCAACAACTGCCGCGTTACAGTCTCTTTCTCTTCGAGTCGATGGCGTAGTTCACCTGTGACAACAGAGGACAAGTTCTCAGTCCTGTCCAGATTAAGCATCCTGTAATTTTTTTTTCCTAAAGACAAATTTGCTTTAGAAAATTCACTTAATTTTTTCTTTTAAAGCCTAGTTTTCATTTTGAAGCAGTAGGATTTTATGCTGTCACACTGGTTGAACCGACAAAAAGTGCTTTAGCAGCTTCCTATAATTGGTGATGCAAACACTGGGATACAAAAGGTAAGCCCTAAAGTTCCACTTCATAATATTTACAATAACTGGAAAACATATATTCCATATCACCCTCTGTCCTGTGGGCTGAAGGACACCTGTCTCGTTTCTTGGAGAGGTGCCTATGGGTCATGCCATTATCTCTAGAATTCTTAGAACTTCTTGTAGCCCTCCAATATTGTTTTTTTCAGATTTTTCCTGAGCCATTTTACATTTTTTCTCAAGTTTTCAGTTTTGTTCTAAGATTCCCCTTGAGCACTATGCTCAATGACCTTACAACAAACTGATCATAGAATCACAGAATCATCTTGCAAGCATGACCACTTCCAAAAGATCACCCAGAAGAAAATAAGAACAAATTTGGTTACAGTCTATGTGTTCCCACATGACATCTAGGAGTGTTGTACACTCCCTTTTCCCTGAGAAGGAAAGGAAATCACATCTGATATTTATTGGAACAACTTTTCTCAATTAACTTTCTGCAGTTAGTGGCCTCGAGCTATTAATATTAGTGCTAGGCAACTCTGAACACAGCACATCCACGTGTTCCTCCACGGCTCACTCACACACACACACACTCACCCATCTCTCCCTAGTAGGGGCAGCACCTGAAGGCCACTCCCAGTTCTTGGCTCAGCAGAGGATCTTACTGAGGGACCAGTCAGGAAGACTCTTGGGCTCCTGTTTTCATCAGATGGGATTTGGGATGTCTGACCCTGTAGTCAACCAGACCAAGGAGTGTTCACTCTCATCACTCACACAGTTCCAAGGAGCATGTTTGGTGCAGCAACAAGCTCCATGATGGGAGCACAAAACAGGTGCTGCACACACAGTGAACATGTGCACTCTGGGCAGTTCTAACAGGCTGCTCAAATAATTTTGGACTGTCCCAAATTCACAGTTCCCCTGCATGAAACAAGTGAGCTATGTCACATCATTCTGGGAATCATTTACCTAAGCAAATAATGCTTGCAACTGGCACATGAACTTTAAAGTGTCCCTCATGAACTCATTTCCTTTGATTTATTACTAATGTTACCTGGGCCTGTACCAATGAACAATTAGATCTCACTCATGGCACACAGTAGAGAACCTCTTTGCTATTGAAGGAAAAAAATATCCTCTCAGCACATCTTTGTGCCTTCCTTACCAGACTCTGTCTGGAGCTGGGCTTTTTGTATCACCATCTCATTCAAATTCCTCTGGTTCTCTTCAGATTTGGCTTTCATCTCACTCATCTGGTCTTCCAGGGTCCGAAACCTTTTCTCCAGATTAGCCTGAAAGAGAGTAAGAAAGTGAAACCTGTGTAGGTGTGTTTGTATGGCATTGAATTCCCACCAGACAGAAATATTGGCAATTCAAGTATTTAACTTGTAAAGAAACACCTTGGACTTAGTAATGGTCTTTGTACTCCTGGCCAAGTCATCAATCTCCATCTTGAGCTCACTCTTCTCCTTCTCCAGCTTCTGCTTGACGCGCTGCAGGTTGTCGATCTGCTCCCCCAGCTCAGCTGTGCTGTCCGCGTGCTTCTTGCGCAGGGCGGCAGCCGTGGCTTCGTGCTGCAGCGTGGCCTCTTCGAGGTCCCGGCGCATCTTCTGGAATTCTGCCTCCCGCTTCTTGTTAAGTTCTGTTTGAGCGGTGGTGGCTCCTCCAGCCTCTTCAAGGCTTCCTCTGATTTGCTCAAGTTCCTGAGCCAGCTCACCATGATGCTTCTCTGCTTTTGCCCGTGTCGCTTTCTCACTCATAGCCTCCTCCTCCAGCTCTGCAACATGGGCCTGGATAATGAGGGAATAGCACATCAGGAATTAAATAGGGAACAGGTAATTCAGTGCTTAGGTTAATGTGTATTTGCCACAGGAGAACATCAAGCCCCTTATTTTGGAGATTATAAGCAAAACAAACTCCTTTCGAATTCCACTGTTTTGGCAATGTAGGCAAAGAGTTACTAACAGGAAAGGACCTATGGATCCACTCATGGTAACTTGAGATCTCAGCTCTCTCTTGTTGTATGGGGCTTGTGTGGACAGGCTTAGGGAGTGGGGGGATGCACGAGTGGCTTCTGTGAGAAGCTGCTTCCCCCATGTCTGATGGAGCCGATGCCAAACCATGGACAAGCATTGTTCGTGGTACTGCAGTTTAAACAAGCAAACAGTAATGACGAAATAGTTACATGAAGTATCTTGCCTGCAATTCTCTGATCTTCTTCTGCAATTGAGTACCTGAATTCTGCCGTTCCACAATTTTATTTTGCTTCTGGTTAAAATCAAAGTCTTTCCTGTGAAGGAAATGTTCTTTTAATAAAAAGAAAATATACCCAGTTAAAACCAAATAGTAAATTTGTCACATTTTTTTCCTCGTACTTTCTTAATTTTTCATCTAAATGTTGTTTATAATTCTCCAGATCCACTTTGGTTTCCTGTGCAAGTTTCAAGTCTCCCTCAAGCTTTCTCTTTGCTCGTTCAAGATCCACACACACTTTTCTTTCCAGTTCTAAAGATCCTTCAACCTGTAACAGATACATATGTAAACACAACTGATGGAACAACCGAAGAATCTGCCCCTTCTCCTTGTGTTGAACATGCTCACATGGTTCACTTGCTGCTCCAGCTTGATTCTGGCTTTGGTGAGGTTATTAACTTTGTCCTCCTCAATTTGCAGGTCATCCAGAGCCTGTTGCTGGCCTTCTTGCAGAGCCTTCTTCTCCTTGACTAACTTTGCAACAGTCTCATCCAAACCTGTCACTACTTCAGTCAGATTTTTCACCTGTTGTAAGGCAAAACACTTGAAAGTCACTAATAATTTTGGCCTTTATATAATCAATGAACACAGGCAATGAACTCATTACAAGACTGCCAAAAAGACTTATTTACTTGCATTATATGGTCAAACTATACAATCTCTCTGCTTACATATCAGCCCTTCAGAAGTCACAAAGCAATGCTGAACTTTGATTTTATGAATTTTTGTATGATTATGGGTTGGTCTTCCTGCACAACAGTTGTGACCAAATTCAACACCAGGCCCATGGATTTCCTTATACTTGAACTCCTGTTAGTGTTCAAGTTGACTGAACCTTTACAGCCTATACACAGACAGAGCAACTGTTATTAAACATGCAAATAGCAGAAATAAAAAGCACCTTGTTTTCTGTGGTATGCTTTTCCTTTTCAGCCTTGAACAATGTTAACTCAAGGTCATCAAAATCTTTCTTCAGCTCAGAGCATTCATCCTCCAGTTTCCTCTTTTTGGCTACCAGATCAGCATTTATCTCCTCTTCATCCTCCAGCTTTTCCATTATCTCCTTTATTCTTGCTTCCAGCTGGAATTTTGCTTGGATCAGCTGGTCACATCTTTCTTCAGCATCAGCCAAATTTTCATTTTCCTTTTACAGAAGACAGAAATGTGTTTCATTGTCACACATTGGCACTGACACTTGCAGAAATCACCTGCTCATTAAGCGACTGGAACATGAAATCACAGAATTTGCTTTCAGCCCTTTCCTGAACACTCAGACAAAACTGATGTAATCTGAAGAGCCAAATCTGGCTTAAATTACGTACCATCTGTACTTTCAGCTGCAGATCCTTTTTCTCTTTCACCAGAATCACCATTTTCTCTTCTAGTTCTTTCCTCTTGGTTTCTGATTTAGCCAGTTCTTCTTTTGTTCTCTCAAACTCTTCTTTCATTGTGGCCATTTCTTTTTCAGTTTCCACACTTTTCAAGAGAGGTTTTAACTTGAAGTACAGCTTCATCCAGGACCACTGCTTGACTTTCATGAATGCACGGATGTTGTACTGGATGCAGAAGATGGACTCTCTGAAACCAAAGTGCTCCATCAGTACTGTGAATAAAGCCCATCTTTGAGCAATCAGACCTTGCAGAGGACACACACCTTTGGTCGAACATTCTTTTCAGCTCAAGTCTCCTGAGGTATCCCCTGCACAAAGCCTGGGTCCGTGTGATCAGCTGTCCTAAGCAATCATCTCGCATCTCTTCCAGGACACCCAGCAAACCTGCCTTGAAGAACACCTACAGCCAAGGAACAGAGATCACTCATTGCTGGGCTCACATTTCAATGCAATGAATGATTTCTCATTGCATGGCAAAATTAAACATTTTACCTTAGTGTGTCCAAATTTGTACTGAGTGTGATCTATCTCAATGGAAGACAGCAACTTTTCACATGCCTTCTTGCTGTCAATAAACTTTCCCTCTGGAATGACATCGGCGTTCAGAAGGTGGTATCTGACAAAATAAAGGAAAAAACTTACCCATCAGTATCATTTTAGTGCACAGGATGCCACAAGAACAGCTGTCAGTTTGAAGATACAGAGGAAGGCTGAGTCTGACTCACACCTCCAGTCTTAAATAGCAAAGCTGTAAGAAAAGCAGCAAATAGCAGCAGGTCAGTTCAGTAGGATCCATGGATGTGTTACAGCCCTCACTGAGACTGAGAACTTGGATGGTCTGTTCTCTGGACCTGAGAGACACTGCTCATGTGTGTCACAGTCATTATCACTGTTGTAGGGGGACAGCTCACTGGGTTAGCTGTAAATTCAAAGAATGAATGGATTTTAGGAATAGGGGACCTGCTGCAGTTCATCTGACTTCCTGTATAACTGACACATAGTCCTCCCAGACCCTTGTTCATTCAGCCCTCTTGTGATTAAGCTAGTACATATTTAAAAAAAAAAAAAAACAAAGAAGAAATTTCTATCTTATCTGAAGCCTTCAAACCTCAGGAGTGTCCCAGGTAAACTATTCACCCTCACTGTAGGAAAGGTAATATTTCACTTCTACCTTGACAACATCCTTTTTCAGGTCACGCCTTTGGATGCTTTAAGTTTGTCTTTTAGCAAACAGCTTCCTGCTTTACATCCTCTTTACATCTGTAGGTTCTCAACACCACAAACAAATCATCTATTAACATTCAATTTCATGAGTTAAATAGAATCACAAAATGGTTTGGGTTGGAAGGGACCTTAAAAATCATCCAGTTCCACCCCCTGCCATGGGCAGGGACACCTTCCACTGGTCCAGGTTGCTCCAACCTGGCCTTGAACCCTTCAATGGATGGGGCAACCACAGTTTCTCTGGGCAACCTGTGCCAGGGCCTCACCAGCATAGTTTGATTTCAATCTCTCCCTGCACTTGAGTTCACATTTTTCCTGTAGCTCTTTTCTGAACCATATACAGCTTCTCCTGTTCCTCCCGAAGCATGGAACCCAGAATTAGACATAATAGCCAGCAATAGACTTCCTAATCCTACACTGAAAGATTATTCCACTCCTATTGTTTTCACAAATCTGCCCACTCACATCACCCCCCCGGACATTGTTAGTGCTCCAAATACCAGTTCAGCCCTTCTCAGTGTCTTGCTCTCCAGCACACCCTGCCCAGACCTGTAAGGGGGCGTGTGTGTGATTTCTTTGTTCTTAGAGATCTGACCCCACATTTACCTTTGTTCAAACACAACGAGCAGACGACTCCAGCTGGGTTGCCCTGAATTTAGCAACCATTTATAAATGTCTTATTTTCACAGCAGTTCCCAAGTTAAGATTGTTTGGTCATGGGATTTTTACTTATAAATTAATGTGCTAATGCTGTAGAAATGTCAGCATGTAGAAATGTTAGCTCAGTACAAAATGAGAGGGCCATGTGGAACTAGCTTAGATGTCCTGCTCAAGTCCCTTTTGTTACTGCAGCCCTATTTGCCAGTCAAACTTGGCATTTCATCAAAAAGTGGTATTTGGTTTAACACAATTTTCTCTCAGTGAAACCACTCTAGTAAGAATTAATTAAACCACATTCTTCAAACCTCTACTAGATAGTGGTTAAATACAGGATGTGCATAGACCACCCTCTGCATTTTTGCTGAAACAAGCTTGTGTCAAATTTGAGAATTAAAGCAAAGAATACCCAAACATTCAGATGAATATGAATGAACTTGAAAATAGGTTTTGGTGTACAGTATTCAGGAAAGTATTTGGGTGGGCACTGCCCATACAAACCACGCCTACTAGATATGTCTTCATGCTTTCCATAGTTGTTAAATATTAAAGTAGTCTTTTCCTAGCAACTATATCATTGATTGGTTTAGCAAAACTCTTCTCTCGAATTGGGCTCGATACAAACACAAGAATGCAATTACAGACCTTTGTTTAAAATCCCCATATGGAATCCTGTTAGGAAATCCTTTCCTGCAGATCCGAATACCTTCCAGGACACCATTACACCGCAGCTGGTGCAGAACAAGTTTGTGATCCATGAGGCCTGTGACAGAGCAACATGGGGATCTATTAACGGGTTCAGCATTGGTCAACTCCTCTTTCTGCCCCTTTCTAATCTGTGTTTTATGCATTACCTGGGGTCTTTGTTTCATTGGGGATGATGCAACGCACAAAGTGAGGATGAGTTGTTCGCAAGTTGGACATCAGCTTGTTTAGATTTTCCTGTAAAGTAGAGATCATTTGCAATCTCTGTATTACTTCAGTTCTGAGTGGGATTTGACTCTGATGAAAATCGAAATTCAGAAGTTTTTCCTTACTCCTCTAGTGAATATTCTACAATTCTGTGTAGGCATCAGCAAAGTAAATGGCTACTAACAGTGGATACAATTGGAGAACTTTCCTCCTGTCTTAAAATGAAAATGTGTCCTTTAGTAGTTCAAGGCTCATCATAAGGGCTCTTAAAAAGGACCAGGATGGAAGAAAATGAACTATATTCTGGGATACCATATATATATATATATATGTATATATATACATATATATATATATATGGTCTTTCTTGATCAAAAGAACTTTTGATCAAATAAATAAATGGATTAATTTCTTGCTTTTATTACTTAGTTACATACATTTAAAATATAATTGAGCTACAAAATCAGTGTTTGTCTATGACATCATAAGTTATCTGTTCTGCAGGGTAGTGCAATTCTTTAATCATCTCATGCAAGAATGACACATTCTGAGTATGGCTCATGTCTCAGCCAGGGGATGATGCACTCCTCATCCTGCCAGGAAGGGACCAGCCTGTTCCTGGCCTCAGGTGTAGATGCATCACAGCAGCCTTAGGGCTGCAACACATAACTTGTGTTGCCCACACTTTCTGCAAGGCACTGGCTGCCACACAGTGTTCTCAGAGGGACACATGCTGGAAGAAGCCAGTGACAGCCAAAGAAGGGAAGGATGTTGGTAGCACCAAAGGGTGAAGCTGACAGCTACCCATGCTGACAAAGCACATCACCTCCCTTCTCCTCCACCATCCCACTGAACCTCAGCAGCAAAGCAGAATTCAACCTTTGCCATATCCCAAATGTAACTTGCCACAGAGTGGCCACAGAGAAAGTGGGGCTGGTGATCCTGTGGAGCCAGGGGTGACAGCACTGCCCTCCCAGCAGAGAACACACCTACCCGAAAGAGCACAGACACAGTCTGGAAGGAAGAGCCCTTTTTCTTGGTTTCTTTCTTCTTTCCACCACCTTCAGCTGGAAAATGAGACAGTCCAGCTGCAGATCCCTTTCACAGGGTTATAATTGTGCATCTAACACACGGCACATGAGCACTGGCTCAACAGTGACTCATGTCACATGACAGGCACAGTAGGAACAAGCATAATCCTCTGATCTTACCTTCATCTGTGGAAGAAAAGGCAGCATAAAGATGGCATAAAACCTTCACAGATGATTTCTGGTACAGCCCAATGACAGTTTCATTCAGGGGGTCCTTGTTCTTCTCCAGCCACCCAGTGATGTTGTAGTCCACTGTGCCAGCGTAGTGCACCAGGGAGAAGTGGGCCTCAGCCTTGCCTTTGGCAGGTTTGGGCTTCTGGAAGTTGCTGGACTTGCCCAGGTGCTGGTCATAGAGCTTGTTCTTGAAAGAGGTGTCAGTTGCCTTGGGGAACATGCACTCCTCTTCCAGGATGGAGAAGATGCCCATGGGCTGAATAGAAAAAGGGTGTTTTCAAATAAGATAAATTCAAGTTACAATAATACAGAGTAAAAGAAATGGTCAAATTAAAGTACTGGAGGTATTTTATAGAGAATTAGCCTGGGAGGAGAAGTAAGCAAGATTTGTTGTGAACAGCTGACAAGATATTCAAAAGCACTCAAAAGATTTTCATAAATAGTTTTGAACTACACAGACAGTGTCTGGAAAACAAAAGAAGCCAAGCAAAAACTGTGTAGTAACTTCTTAGAATACAGTAGTATACAGTAGACTTCTCCTTACCCAAAAAGCAAGGAGACATCAGGCTCAGTTAAATTCAAACTGAGAGGGAAACCTGAGCAGGAACCAATATGCAAAGGACAACTGGGGTAAATATGAGAATGAAAAATGACAATTTAGAATGAGAAAGAGAAGAAGGAAGGAAGGGAAAGAAAGAAAAAAAATTAAAAAAAAAGAAAGAAAGAAAAAGAAAGAAAGAAAAGAAAGAAAAGAAAGAAAGAAAAGAAAGAAAAGAAAGAAAGAAAAGAAAGAAAGAAAAGAAAGAAAAGAAAGAAAAGAAAGAAAAGAAAGAAAGAAAAAGAAAGAGTGAAAGAAAAGAAAGAGCAGTGTCTTTTTAGAAGACAGAATACATTCGCAGTCAGTAGATAATTAATTACAAAGGTGATGTTTAAAGGAACAGAGGAGGTGAAGAGACCTGAAAGCTTCACAGGGAGACTGCATTGAAGGCACTCAATGCAAACACTCTCAAGAATCCCTTCCAGATCCAATTTGTGTGAGTGCCAAAGATGCTTAAGAAACTCACCTTTTCTATAAGCTCAATGCAGGCAGCCAGGTCCATCCCGAAGTCAATGAATGTCCATTCAATTCCCTCCTTCTTGTACTCCTCCTGCTCCAGCACGAACATGTGGTGGTTGAAGAACTGTTGCAATTTCTCGTTGGTGAAGTTGATGCACAGCTGCTCCAGGCTGTTGAACTAACGTTTGAGTAAGTGTGTTAGTAATGTTAAACTCCCTCCAATCAATTTATTTCACAGAGATGTCATAGCAAAGTCAGCCAGGCTGTCTCAGAAGGGTTTTGATAACAGTGTAAAGAATATACCATGGGTGGTCCAGGCTTACAGAGAAGTTGTGCTGTGCAGCGCATGGTTGCTGTAGCTTGCACTGGCTATGTTTTTGGGTGGCCCTAAAGTCACTAAATGCAGATTCTGTGGGGAGGGGGACAGCAGATTCATGGCTATGCTTCTGCCATGTCTCTTCTCTTACAAAGTAGGTGATGGATCTACAAAGGCAGAAGCAGCTTCAGAGAGATTTGCCCTGTTCTTGAGGGTTGCACTGGGGTGAGGAGGAGGAAAGGTCATAGAAGTCAAACAAAATGAAAAAGAATTTAAAGACAGCCAGAAGTCTGAGAGTGCTGTATAAAATCAAACCTCAAAGATCTCAAATCCAGCGATGTCTAAGACCCCAATAAAGTGCTGCCTTGGCAGCTTTGTGTCCAGCTGTTGGTTGATGCGCATCACCATCCACAGGAAGAGTTTCTCATAGACTGACTTGGCAATGGCACTCACTGCCTGGTGCACCTGCAGGGAGATGGTTCACACACCTCTGTCAGGGCACTGCCAGGGCCCCACCAGAATAAACCCTCAGCGTGCCCAGGTACACAGCCCACACAGTGCACTAACAGCCCCTAATGGTCCTGACCAGCTCAGCTGTGACCTGCATCCATTCCTTTCTTTAGGCAGAGGATGGTCCCTGCTGCTCCTTGACACTCACCTGATCCACTGTTTGGCCCTTCAAGACATATTCATTTCCCACTTTCACCCGGGGATAGCACAAAGCTTTCAGCAAGTCTGCTGAGTTCAGGCCCATCAGATATGCTGCTTTGTCAGCCTCTGGAAAACAAAATCATAAGCTGAAATACTTTCTTCTTAGCTTAGACCTACAGAGTGCATTGGAACCAGCCAGAGCTCACTCCGAAACCTGCAACGTGGGTGGCTTTAGCCTATCCACAAAGTTTGACTAACATTCTCATTTACTCTTCTGAACAGCCTTGTAGAGCTGGTCCTCGTGATGGAGTGGCTCCGGCAGCCCCAGATGATGTGGTGGAACCTGTGAGGGCATTGGTAATGGGACAAGAGTGGTTTTCCCTTCGAGCCACTTCTCCACAATGTCACCCAAGCAGCCCAAGTCTGGATGTGTGACCAGAAACTCGTGAACACTACAGTAATAATATGTCCTAGGCACAAGGTCCTTCAGCAGAGTCATCAGGAATAAAGTGGATGCAGAAAGTGACTCTACTGGAGTTGGTAAGCTGAAAGCCAAACCTTTTTTTTTGTGGTCATTACGGAACAACTGCATCTCTCCTGGAAAACTCCTGCTGTTTCTAGTGAAAAATGGTATGGAAACCAGTTGGAAATAGTTCTCTCACAGCCATGAAGGTATTACCTTCTGTGCCATCTGGCTCTGCTTGCTCCTCACGTGGTTTCTGTTTGAACTTCATGTTTCCGTAGTGCAGGATTGCCCCTGTCAGCTTGTAAATCCCCATTCTCTCATCAGGGCTGAAGCCCAAAATGCCAATGGCTGCCTGCAGACGAGATAGATCAGCTGGTTATAGCAGTGGTGAGAGTAAGAGTGAGACTGTCTCTCCTCACTAACTGTACCCACATCTGTGGCAACAAGCTCCTCCTGGTCATCAATGCTGGCCACAGAGATCTGCCCTTGGCTGATGAAGGGGTAGTCATATGGGTTGGCAGTGATGAGAAGCATCTCTGAAAGGCAAACACAGGAGTGAGAGCCAGAACTTAGCAGGGAAGTTGGAACAATGGCTCAGCAAGGTTTCACAAGCTCTCCTTCCTTTTGCATCCCAAAGTCTTGGTTTTCTATTAAGAGACAAGGAAGACAGAGGAAAGCCATTCACCCCTGTACCTCACCTGCACACAGTTTATATTAGAACTTACCCAGGGAAATAAATGGGAGGTGGAGTAACCCTGAGTGTGTCCCCTGTCACACGGAGACACCAGTGCTGTGCACAACAGGTATCCCTGGTCTGGCCAACACTGTGATGTCAGGGATGTAAATAAGCATGACCAAAGTGTCCCTGCTCTACACAGCCTGAGGCACTGCCAAAGGGGGACCTGGGGGTGGGTGACACATGGCACCAGGGCAGCAGTTGCCACTGGACCCTCCATCACTGAGCTGGCATGTTGAGGGGAAATGTTTCCCACAGTGACTTTACTTAATGTCACCAGGTGATGGCTGTCCTTACCAAGCAGTTCAGGCTTCTTATTTGAGAGGATTTGGTAGAAGATATGGTAGCTTCTCTCAGCTTTCAGCTGGAAAGTGACTCTTGACTTTTCCAGTAGGTCTGTAATACGTATGCATAGAAATTTTTCAGGCTCTTCACCTTCTAGCAGAGCAGTCAGCCCCCCTCAGTCACTCACAGGTCTCAATGTCACCGGATGCCAGTTTTCCAGAGGTTCCAAAATGGATACGAATGAATTTACCCTGGCAAGCAGACAAAAGATAGTGGTCAGTGCAGCAATCTCTGTTTTTCTCTCTTGAGTTTCAGTGACAGCACCTCCAAATCAATCTGAATTAGCTTAGATATCCAAATCTAGATAATGGGGAACAGTTTGCTGCAGCCCACATAGCTGTGAGCATGAAACAGCTGCAAACATGTCAGCATTTCACAACAAACCACAAAAATTGGTCAACAAGAATATTTTTCCCAGCCCAGGGGCTCCTAGTTGCAACTAACAAGCAGCTAAAGAGCATTAGAAATGCAAGAGGGCAGAGACAGACACAGGATGACTCACAAAGCGTGAGGAGTTGTCATTTCTCATCGTTTTGGCATTCCCAAAGGCCTCCAGCAGTGGGTTGGCGCTGAGGATTTGATCCTTGAGCGTACCCTGCAGGAATAATTGAATAATTATTGAAAAACACCATGAGCTTTGTGGTAGGAAGAAGTGAATCTATGGCATGATTATATGTGCAGCCACGTGCCCTTCATTTCAGCTGTGCAGTGCTACTGCAGCACCTTTTTGACTCCAGCACCAAGAACCAGCACTGGGGGTAAATAGTGAATGAGTCATTTGCCTCTTATTCAGAATTTCTCTCATTGTCAGAGTTCTCAGGTCTCAGCCACAGGGACAGACTGATCCATGTGAGGAAACCTCTGATTCTTCCTGGACACCAATCCCACAGACCTGGTTTCCGTCCAGGTAAAGCTACACCTGTGCAGTGTCAGCGGCAGATCCAGTGGCTTGTATTTGTTGTGGTCGTACCTGCACATCAGCCCCTGGTCCTGCTGCCTTTTGAGAGAGTGACTGAAGCTAATAAAAGATATCTTGAGGGAAATGTTTGTCACCAGTGCTGTCCACAGCCACAAGTGGACATCCTGAACTGCCCCTTACCAACCCCTCCTCCTCACACCTTCATCCCAGACTCCTTCATGGCTGGGTCCCCGCTGACTGCAATGGTTGCATAGTATTGGATGACACGTTTTGTGTTCACGGTCTTCCCGGCACCAGATTCCCCGCTGTTGAAAGAAAGCACAGTGAAGAAAAATCCAGCCCCTTTTTGCTGGACACAAAGCCCAAAGTGACAGATGTACTTACGTGATCAGGATAGACTGGTTTTCACTATCTGTCAAAGGGAAAAATACCTGCAGTCAGAGAAGCTGTAGGGAAAAGTGCTGGTTCTCAGGCAACTGTGACCTGGTGTCCATCAGAGGAAATGAAACAAAATCTCTGCAGGCAAAACTGAAAAGTTGCATGGTCTTCTCTCCTCCTCTCTTCCCCTCCCTATACTCCACTTTTTGTCTTCTCCCCTCCACCATTGCTGCAGTCTTTTTTGCTTCTGTCTTTATCATTTCTAATTGTATTGATATTTAATATAGGACAGGACTTTATTCAAACTAAACCCATGTATTTTGGTGAAAATATTTCTACCAGCTCTGTTCTGAATCTACCTGCTGTTGCTTGAAGCCACGTTCAAGTGTGCTGACTAGGGACTTCCCAGGTAGTGTATCCTATCCAACTGCAACTGCCCTTTGCAGAGGTCCCTGTTACAGTCCTTAGCTTAGTACTTAGAGCAGGAATGCAGATAAATGTGCAGCACAACAGCAGATGCTTCAAAAATAAAAAAAAAAAACAACATTCCAGGAGACAGGGAAAGCTGTCTGGAGCAGGTTTTGCGTCATTCAGAGCTAAAATAGTTGGACAGTAATTAGGAGACTAAGCAGACAGTCTACACCACGACCCAGACCAAGGAGCTGGAGTAGCACCCTACAAAGGTGACTGAGCCCATGGCAGGAGTGGAATGGTACTTGGCAGAACTGCATTTCTGACACAGTTTTTTCTATGAACCTGGTCAAAATAGAGAAACTCACCAGTCAGCATGAACTGATAGGCGTTGTCAGAGATGGAGAAGATGTGTGGAGGGGCCTCCTGGCGCTTCTTGCCTCGGTAGGCCAACACCACCTCCGGGTTGTACACGGGCAGCCACTTGTAGGGGTTGACAGTGACGCAGAAGAGACCCGAGTAGGTCTGCAGGAAAAAAATGGAACAGAAGAGTCACTGAAGTCCAGCTCCTGTGGCTGTACTTTCACCTTTGCCAGAAGAGGGAACTTACATAGATCATCCAGGAGCTGTAGCGGTCCTTGAGGTTGTAGAGGACGGCGGGTTCATGCAGGTGGGTCAGCATGGCCACATCCTCAACTCTGTCAAACTTTGGTGGGTTCATGGCATACACATCATCAGGTTTGACAGCAACTGTCTATAATTCAGAAAGAAAGAGTGAACCTTGATTCAGCAACTCTCAACAGTCCTTTCTTAAGTACACACTGAGACACAAACTCAGAGAAGTAATAACATCTGTAAGGCTGCTCTAATTCGTATTTTTCTTTCTGTTTAACTGTGCAAAACAGGATATGGCTATTTCAGGGCAAACACTGCTGCCAGCCAGGAGCTCTACAATACTGTACATTTACTGTCCTGGAACTGCTACAAGCACAAAGACAGGATTTCTGATGGACCAGATATTTCCACACATTATTGCTGCTTATGAACTTCAGGTCTTCAGCACGAGATTCATCAATAGCAAATCCTTCTTTGGGACTGACTTGTTCCACTCCTGCCTGTGGCCATTCCTAATTAAAGAATGGTTCTATCTCTTCCAAACAGCACCATCTGCTGGGCTCACACTGTGGGTGACTACCCCCCTCACACAGCCAGGGCCTGTGGAGATGGGGGGGGGAGGCAGAAGATGTACAGGAAAGCAGATGTTCACAGCTGGTAGCAGCTCATCTCAGCCACTATGAACCATGAAAGAGCTTGAAAATCCTGCTGTAATTTATTCAGCTGACTTATCCCACTGCTTTTATCCACTGCTGAAATTGTTGCTCCCATGGACTGGTCCAAGCTGACTAGTCCAAGGCAAGGAGGAAATAGTGTGGAATCATATTTGATTCAGAAAGACTGAACACTATTTCTTACCTCAAGTCCTGACTAGTGGAATGGTCCTGGGCTCCTTTGAGAAAGCAAGAATTATAGGCACAGTTTTCAAAAGCAGCTTTGTGATATGTATCCCTAAATACCTTTTTAAAGCACTCAAACACCTGAGCAATTAGGACTTGCAGGAAGTCTCCATGTAGAACAAGAGATCGTGCATTAACTGCTCCTCACAGCACATACCTGGGAGTCACTACTAAGACAATGGCAGCTCAGTGCTCAGGAGAGGGCAGGAAGCTCTAAAATATTAGGAACAGTTAGAAAAGAAAGGGAGAAGAGAAGGGAGTGTTATGTAGGAAGTGTCCATCAGTTCATCCACACCTTCATTACTGATCACACCTCTTAGAAGGGATAGAATTGTACTAGAAATGCTCCAGAGAAGAGAAACAAAGATGGTCACACATATGAAATGGTTTTTCTACGAGAAGAGTACAACCTGAGAGTTTGGGGGTGAAAAGGAGACACTTTCAAAGTTTGCAAAGTCCGGAACAGCAGGGAGAACCATAGCCATAGCAAGGAACAATTATTCTCTTCTACTCCTTGCGAAAGAAAAAATAATGCTGCATATAGCAGAGAAAAGGAAGGACTTTACACTTAATCCAATTTTAAAAGTGTGAAAATCTTTCCCACAGGCCACTACAGGGGCAAAAAGTCCAAATGGACATAAAATAGTCAGGCCTTAGGAAAGCAGGACCTTATGCATCTCAGCCTGGTGCAGCCTCAGTCACTTCCCTGAGACTGCTGTGGATCACTGCTTACCCTTTACTTGTTTTCTAAAACTCTTGTAGCATTTACTGCCAAGATGTTGGTCGAGGTGGTTCTTTGAGCCTCTGCTATTATTGTTACAAAAGTTGTCAGGACTTGAGCTGCTACGACATGTCAGTGTTTTTGGAAGAGTAACTGCAGCCAGTGACACTGACAATATCACATTCAAAGGGGACTTTCAGATTATCTGTCTGCTCTGCTACCAGTAAAGGAAAGAATTTATCAGTGGATATGACAGTGTTAACTGAAAAAGTGTTAAAAGCAGTGGTTGAGGAATGCCAAGACTGGTAAGGCAATGACCTAACCTGGTTTAGAGCATTGTCTGCTCTTTAAAGCCCAAACTAAGAATAGTATGGCCAGTCTTCACAAACGAAGATTTGGGAAAGGTCTTTACCCTTCGAGCCTGTGCAGTGGATTTTTTTTAGGTGAGACACAGTGTGCGCTGAGCTGAGCGCACCCTTTAATCCTAAGGTTCATCTGCCGCGGCTGAGCAAGCTTGGACAGTGGCAGTGAGGTCCTCAGGATGTAGGTTTGTTTAGAGTGACCTTCTCTTAGATGGATGGCCTTACAGGGCTGACAAACTCCATCTGCCCCGGGGGAGTTTCCCTGACTGGGAATTGAACCTGGGCCTCAGTGGTGAGAGTGCTGCATCCTAACCACTAGACCACCAGGGGTCCCCCTAAACTAAAAATAATTATCCAATGAATAACTGTATCCCAGCATTCAGAGCTATGCTTTCCTTTGGAGGCTGTGCCGGTCCCAGTTGGAGGGCAGAGCAGGACAGATTTCCTGCCTGAGCTACTCTGGTGCTTCCCCTGTTCCTTGCCCTCCCCAGCGATGCCCTGGGTCCCTCAGCAGGACCAGCAGAAATGCACTTACTCTGCCATCCTCTGTCTCCACAGTTATCTTCCCATCCTGTGCAGCCTTGATCTTCCCTTTGGTGTACTCCACCTCAGGGTCAGCCACAAAGCAGTAGGTCTTGGCATCAAATGGCTGGTTCTGGGCTTCTATTCTCTCCTTCTCTGACTTGCGCAGGTACGGTGCAGCCTCACCAAAAACCTCCATGGCAGCGTCTCTGCTCATGGCTGGAGCTGAAAGACACACCCTGTGCTGGTGCCCTGGGCAGTCGTTAGAGCAGAGTGAAGCTGAACATCCACAGCCCTTTCCAGCTGTCTGCTCTGAGCTCACCCCTCCCAGCCCTCACCAGCTGCAGGTCTTCAGGGAGATATTTGCCTTTCAAAGCTGGAATGTACAAACCTAGTGAAAAGGAGCTGCCACCCTTTATGGCCCCAGGGAAAGGAGATCCATGCCCAAGGGAGCAGGATGGCTCCCAGTGGAAGTGTGGCAAAGGGGAGGGATCTCTAAAGGATTAACACAGTCCTTAGAAAAAGTGAAGCCCTGAAGACTGTCTTTTTCCTGGCTTTTCATTATGACTTCCCCCACTCCCTATCAACATGAAGCCTGTCCTAGTCCTCTGGTGGCCAGCCACAGCAGGCAGGAATGGACACGAGCAGCTCATGCAGGAGGAAGAACAGGGACCTGTCCACAGTGAGTGCAAGGGAAAAATCAGCTCATGCCAGCCTGGGCAAGATATTAGTTTTCATGCCTTAAATTCTCACCTTAACAATCAGTCAACAGAAAGCAGGAAGGAACAGGTTGACATCTCAGATCTCTGCAAGAGAAAGAGTGGAAGGTCAGACTTCACCAAAGCTACAGCCTCTCCTAAGGCCTGACACCCCTCACTTACTGCAAGCCACTGCACCTGCTGAGGGCCAGCACAGTTCACCAGAGACCCGCCCCTTCCCTGCCCAAGAAATGGCCCAGCAGGGAATCCACAGCAGAATTCCCACTGCAGCGCTACAAACTTGCGAAGCTCCAAGCACAGGGAACAGGACCTGTGGCAGGAGCCCTCTGCCACTCTGCAGGTCAGTCACAGAATGGCCATGAGCTTGGCCAGGACATCGGGAGCCACCAAGGGCTTTCTCCCCGACTGCTTTTATAGGCTCAGCTTGGTCCTCTTGGTTCAGCCCCTTCCCTATATTTGGAAGGAAGGGATTGATACTCCTGCCTGCTCACAATTCGTGTTCATTTTCTGCCATATACAGTGTGTAAGAAAAGGAGCTGCTCCTTTTCCAACTTTGGTAACTCTGGGACCTATCTGTGGTTTGCAGATTTTTTTCTTGTGAGAATTTCCTCTCCCGGTCACATGCTCTCCTGCCAGCTATGACCATGGCCAGCACTTCCTTCCACTCTCACCCACATGTCAAAGAAATAATAGTGCAGAAGGGACCTGCCTCCCTGCTCCTGCTCACAGGATGCTTGGGCAGAGCTGCACAGTGGTGAGGGAACCCAAAGCAGCCCTGTGTGGGGTGGAGACCAAGGCCATGGAAAGGAAAAAAGCTGTTAAGATCAGTTATGGTAACTCTTGTGGCTTCCCATCACTGCATGGGTCAGGGGGGATGGGATGAGAGGCCATGACTGAAATGTGATGTGATAAACCATGGCAAAATAGAGCCTAATCAGAAAGAACACCCAAATCTAGCCAGAGATGGACACTTCATGAATGCCAAACCTTGAATATGGTACAGAAACGTAGCTCCAAATACAATTTTGGCTGCTCAGGATGTTCACTGCCCTTGCTGCCAAAAAGAGCTGCAGAAGCCTCATCACATCATTCTAAGAAGGTTCTTAGACATGGATGATTGCAATTCCCATGTGAGAAGGATATTGGTAAGGGTAAACAGTAGCCACAAAACCACTGGGCACTACCCCCTTTGCCAGCCCACTAGGACAGTAACAGCTCTGCTCAGTCCTGAGCACTAGTGACCCAGAGCAGCACTTTCACCTGAACCCCTGGGGCTGCAAGCTTGGCTGTGCCTGGGGAAGGCAGAGCTGTGCTAGGAGAAACAGGCTGAGCAAGGACACACTGCAACTCTGCATCTCTGACGTGGGCAGCTCAGGCAGTAAGGCCTGGCCATAGACTCAGTCATTCCTCTTCCTTTCTCAGACCAGGGCTGTGCCACAGGCTTCTCAGACCACACTGCCAAAACACCCTTGAATCCACTTCAGCCAACGTGTGTGCCCTGAAAAGCATAGGAAAACAGTGGGAATTAGCATGGAAAAAAATACAACTGCAGCAAAATTCCCCAACTCTGCAGGAGAGGCAGGGGGATAGGCAGGACTTGGAGCTGAGCTCTCCCATCTCAGGGCAGCACAGCCAGGCTGCTGCTGGGGTACTGCCTTCCTGGCCTAAAAATCTGTCATCCCAGGTGCACATTTCCAGTGAGATCAAGTCTTCACTGACTTTTGCAAAACCAGCAAAGTTGACTCAAAAACTCTTGAAAAGCGGGTATGAGTTCCCTGGGGTCAGAGTGGGCTTTGAAGGGAGGTCTCCCAGTCCCAAACATAGTTTGGTTGGTACAGAGCAGCCGGGCAATGATTGGCAGGAGCAGTGGGAGCCTTCACGCACAGATAGAGTGAGCTCCTGGTGCAGGAGAGGAAGGATCTCTGTTCTGGTCATCTTCTGTCACTGCTCAGTAAGCCCTATTTTCTCTCTGTTCTGCATGGATGCTCATCCAAGGCTGCAGCACCAGCTTTCCCTCAGCAGAATGAAGCCTACAGGACTTGTGTGAAGCCAGAAGCCCACTCCAAATAGCTCCTGCCACCTCCCAAAGCACCACTCCGAGCTGGAGCACCCTGGGACACCTGCAGCTGCTGCTGCAGCACAGGGGACGTCACCTTGTCTTTAGGCCACAGTGGCTGACCCTGCTTGTGTTTGCCCAACAAGAACTAACCTTGTGGGCTTGCAGCAGAGTCAGTCACCAGCGTTTTGAAAAACATGTTCCATGTTGCCCGTAATTTCATTTAAGGTCACTAAAAATGGACACGACAGTCACATATCTCATGAACTATGAATTCCTAGAATCCCCCTAAGCCTGGAGGATGAGGGAAAAGCTTTTTTTAGCCCTCATCCCTTGTGATCAGCCCTTTGAAGTCAGCACAGTGAATGTACTGAGAGCAAAAACTGAGACATACCAGACCAATAAGCAGTTTGGGACTTTTTCCTGATACTGAATTGCCAGTGTGATTAAGACAGGGCATTTCCTGCTCCCAGGCATGCCCAAAGCAAGTGGGCTGGACCCCACCCACAGAATCATTAAGGTTGGAAAAGACCTCCAAGACCATTGAGTCCAACCTGTGCCCGATGCCCACCTTGGCCCCCAGCCCAGAGCACTGGGTGCCATGGCCAGGCCTTCCTTGGACACGTCCAGGAGTGGGGACTCCACCACCTCCCTGGGCAGCCCCTTCCAATGCCTGACCACCCTTTCCAGGAAGAAATTCCTCCTGATGCCCAACCTGAACCTCCCCTGGTGCAACTTAAGCCCAGGCAGCAGAGCCCAACCCCCTCCAGCTCCCCCCTCCTGTGCTCCTGGAAGCCCCCCCTGAACCTCCTTGTCTCCAGGCTGAGCCCCCCCCAGCTCCCTCAGGTGTTATTTGTGCTCTAGACTCTTCCCCAGCTCTATTCCTTTCTCTGGACACATTCCAGCCCCTCAATATCTTTCTTGTCGTGAGGGGCCCAGAACTGGACACAAGATTCGAGATGCCTCAGCAGTGCCCAGCACAGGAACAGACACTGCCCTGGTCCTGCTGCCACACCATGGCCGGTACAAGTCTGGATGTCACTGGCCTTCTTGGCCACCTGAGCACACGCTGGTGTGCCAACTTCCCACACCCAGCTGTGAAAGCAAAGAGCACCCACAGGCAATGAGAGCCACTCTCCCAGTTTTCCCTGGCTGGTTCAGGTGCCCAGGTGGGAGCAGAGTGCAGGAAAACAGCTGGCACTCAGTAAGGGGAGTAAGGGGCTCCACGGGGAGCTCCTGCTGCCAGCTCGTCACAGGCATGTGCCGAGCCCTGCACCAACAACATCCCGATCTGCCTCAGATCTCTAACTCAGGGCCATCCAGTATATCCACAAGCTGCAGTATCATTTCATGTTCTCCTCAGCCTAGCATGGGTTAGTAGCTGAAAAAAATACACATTAATTACTTTCAGATCTCTAATTCTGATCCATGAACTACACAACCAGCTACCACAGCATTACCACAGCATTGCTATTCCATGCCTGCTGTTGGAAAGGCCCCACTTTGCATTACAACAATCACACTCTGATTTCATGCTGTTCCCCATCATGATATGAAAACATCTGTCAAGATAATAGTTGCTGTAAAATCTTAACAGAAGGTAGCCTGGAGCAAGGGCTGAGATACAAAACTGTGCCTGTCACACCGCAAAGCAGGGATGTCAGGAGACTTTGGGAGCGCAGGTGAATCTGCACATCTCAATTTTGGAGCTTTTTTTCTTTGGTGTTAAGAACATGCATTAGATTTTCCCATCTCAAGAAATAAGTGTACAAACCTTTCTATGTCTGGACTTACCTGTGCTTCAGAGCCCCTGAATGATTGACAAGCTGTATGATTTAGGATGACAGCTTTGTGCAACTGAAAATCAGAAAGTCCCATGATAGATATAAAACTTAAGTCTCCCTTATAAATGACAGTAGGAATTGAATGAGTGGGACACTGCCGGTGTTTCAAGCCAATCAAGAAAGTTCCAAAATTTCAGCAAGCTGAAGAAAGATTACTGTTGTTATTCTGTGTGTCTGGAGTTTTCCAGAGAGCAACTACTTTAGAAACTCTGTATTTCCCTCTGGTAAGGTAGCTGGTCTTCCCACTCTGCAGGGGAGATCATAAAGGAATGATTTGTCTCTTCTACAGGGAAGAGGCTGGATCAGACTCAAAGCAGGCTGTGACACTTGGGTTCCAGCTTCTGAGTACAGGATTTCAGGAGGACATCCAATTCCCAAGGGCTTGACATGAAGCCACTTGTGCTGTGCAGGGGATTGTTAAGCACCCCAGAGAGACAAATCACAAACTCTTCTAAAAAACGGGGGATCTGCTTAGCCTGAGCTGAGTGACTTTGTGAAGCACCGAAGTGGGGATGGGCCACACTTCCACACTTTGGAGTGACTGGGCTGGCTCCAGTCACTCCCATAGGACCAGCAGCCAGGAAACAGGAGATCCGAAATCAAACCTTTTCTTAGCCTTGGGATTTTCAACTGATGTCTCTCACCTCCCCAGAAGTGGAGACAGACGTTAAGAGTCAGTGTCAGAAGTAGGGGCAGCAGAAGGAAACCTGGCTGCAGCCTGGAGGCTCCGGGGCTCAGCTGGTGGACACTGTGCTCCCAGTATAATGTCTGGTACTTGGTCTTGTTCATGAAGATACTTCTTATTGCACTCCCAGAGCTGTAAAACATCTCAAGTGTTTCACCTAGACCCCAGGACCATACAAGATTAGTCTCCTACCCACAAAGCCATGAGCTACAACAGGCCACACACAAGTGACATCTCTGCACCTGTGCAGGATCCTGCTCGCCCTCAGGAAAACCCAAAACAAGACGAGCACAGGGCTTGCTACTGTGAGCCCAGGTCACTGTGGTTCACCACAGCTCGATTCAGGTGCCTGTGGCCCAGAGTGAGGACTCAGCTGCACACCCATGTTGAGAGCAAGGGCCCCCTTTAACATATCCTTTCAAATGAGAACAAAATGCACTAAAAAAACAAACTAAGGCAAGAAATGCTGATGCAAAGGGAGAGATCAGTGGGTGAGGAGGAGTGTTGAATCTTCTCATGAGCCTGGATCTA